CCCGATTGCGGAGAACGCGAGAGACGGGGACGTGTTTATCGGGACCGCTTTGTGCGACCATATCGCGTTTGCCGAGGGCCGACAAAGAGCGCGTCGACGGTCGCGTCAAAGGCGCGACTTTCGAGAGACACCTCCTCTCCGACAGGAGTCGACGCACTGCGTCCTCCACCCCATTTCCCCCCCTTTCCCGCGATTTTCCGGAAACAGGACAGAGGGAGAGAGAGAGATGGCGGGAAAGAGAGTAGCCCGCCTGTCAAAGGGAGCGCGCGAGTCCTCCGGCGATGTTTCCAAGGCAACGTCATAGTCAGGCGACGCGCGGCGCGCAGCGTCTGGCGACAGAGGCCCTCGTTACCGCTTCCGGTCCGGCTCGAGCGAGAGAGAGCGACCGGGCGAGCAAGGCCGAGCGAACGCGCCCCGCGTGGGAGGGAGCGAGAGGGCACGCCTCGTCGAGAGAGGCCGACAGAGACACGGCGCGAGTCGCCCAACAAATAGCCACATCCTCATAATGGAACAGCGTGTCCGACTCGTTAGCCGGCGCGCCACCGACCGGCGAATCGCGCGTTCCGAATGAAAATCGCGACTCCGGGGTCAAGGGAAGGAAAAAGAGGTGTCACGCGTCACCGCGGAGAGCCGCGTGGCCGAGCGTCGTCCGCGGAAAAATTCCTATTGCATTAAGAGGGAGAGAGAAAGAGAATTCGCGAAGGCATACGCGTACACCTCCGTTCGTGCGTCAAATGCGCGCAATTCATGCGTACGCTTAAGTACGTGCCACATGTACAGCCGGACCGAGGGGCACCGATTCACGGATAGGTATAAGTTCGAACTGGTTCCGAGGCGGCGGTGACTCGTGAAAAATAGAGGCGAAACACAATATCCGTGAAAACGCGGCTCGAAGAAGGTTAGGAGCCGCCCCTGGTTACCAGGGAAAGTGCGAGGCCGGAAAGGCTCGAGTTTTCCATCCCGAGGGACAAAAGCGGGTCCCACGGGAAAACTGGAGACCCGACACTTCCGCCGCGCCCGAAACACCCGGTCGTTCGAGATTTGCAGCGAGTCCGTCCCGACATCTCGATACCGCCACGTGGTCGGCGGCCACGTGGCTCGCTTCCTCGCTAACCTCGCTTCCAACCGCTCCAAGAAACCGCATATCTCTTCACCTCTCCGTCCCGTACGTTAAACCATCCGTCGTATCTACGAGTACGGATACTTCCCCGCCTGTACATATCAATCGGCTCCAATCGATCGATCTAAACGAATTTGATTTACTCCGACATTTCTTTGGACATTTACCTGATCGCAGAATTTCTAGTAACGGTGTATATTTTTTAGAGTGAACCAACTCTTCCATGCTCAGTGCGGATATGCAATTTCGAATAATCCCGTATGCGGGATTAATATTCCCGATTCCCACGTGGCGCCACGTGGGGTGGACGCGCGGCAAGATGGCGGCGCGTCTATCGAATCGCGGATAAAGGAGAACGCCGTCCGCGGCACGCAGAGGACCCCGGCGGAGCGGCCGGTGCCCGGCCTGTCTCTCTCTCTCCCTCTTTCTCTCTCTCTCGTCCTCCTGCTTTTATTTCCCGGACCGCGCCGAGCCGCGCCGGCGGGTTCAAGGTCTCCCCGGTGGGAGAGCTTACCGAGCTTCCTCGGGCCCCGTCGCCGGCGGAGCGTCGCCGGGGAGCGTCCTCCTCGCGTGCACGCGAGAGTATCCCCAAGAATCTTCGAGAATCCTCGAGAATCAGCGTGCACGCGCGCGCGATCCGTCGAGGACGCTCCCGGGGAACAACCGAGGCCGAGATTTTACGAGCCCCGGACCCGGAGAGCCCGCAAACTCGCGGCTAATTGGAAACTGGAAACGAGGGTTCGACGAACGACTGCCGATGGGACCTCGCCGGTTGCGAGCGCGCATGCGCGCGACCTTCGCCGCGGATCGTCTTACGATCATAGAACTCAACATTTGCGAAACCGTGATATATCCTCGAACCCTACATACCCAACACAGAGGCGGGCAATAAAAAAGAAAAAAAAAAATCTTAAGTCGCTCCGATCCTAGAATCAAGAAACTGGGTAGGGATCCGTGCCGAGTACACATTTGAGGAAGCACCCCGTGATATGGAACGACGATCGAAAATTTGGGTTGCCACGAGGTACGATTAGATGATCGGGGGAGAGTGGCGAATAAGGTGGAACGAGATATCTCCTTGACACGGGTCGGTCCAATTTTCGGCCCGACGGAGGAAGTGAAAATTCACGGCATTAAGGTGCAAAGCCCCCTCTCGATCCTTCCTCGAGTAATCCTTCATCGGGTTGCACGAGAACCGATTTAAGGATCCTACATAGGGAGATCGAAATTTCGACTCGGCCGAGGCGCAAAGAGAGTTGGGCTCGAGTCCGGTCCCGTGGTAAGCGCGAGGGGTACCACCCCGTAGGGAATCCAGCACCGAGTTCGACGAACGGATAATACTAAACATTTCAAGGTCTTCAATTGAAGCTCCTTTGTACAGTGGCTATCCTCGAGTCGCCGCCTCGGGAGACTGGTCTTCGCGCGGTCGAGCTCGTCCGCGCCGCCACTTGCAGCTGCACTTTCCGATGCAACGGGCGGGGGGGGGGGGGGGAGGAGGAGGACGACAAAAAACAAAAAGGAAGGAGGGAAAAAGGACTTCTACTCGATTCCAAAAATAGCCTGCGGCCAAGTCCGCTATCGGAAAGCGTTCGAGACGCGGCAACGACAAATCGCGGTGCTCGTAATTCTCTTAATCCTCGCAATTCTCGTAATTCACGTACTACGCCCTTCCCCCGTCCGCCCCCGTCCGCCCCCTCGAGGATAGACATCGCGATTAAGTGCCCGCGACGGTTCCTTTTTTTTATTTTTATTTTCCCCCCGACATCCCGGTCGCGGTACTTTACGAGAGCAAGAAAGTAGTAAAAAGTACCAGGGTGCCGTGCGGAATACCGAGAGGGAAGGGTTCGACGAACCGGGCGACACTGGAAAATGTTTCAAGGCCACCGACGGGAGTGTCCGCGACCTCCCCCGAGCCCTTGCACACCTGTCCTTGAATCCAGCCGACCTGGTATACTCGGAAGATGAACGCGAAGAACCCCGCCCGAGGTCGCGTAGACCCCTTAAAATAAATCCCTCCGAAAGATACTAGAATTTAAAGAGAAAAAAAGGAAAAATCAATAATAATTCACAATTAAGAAAATTCTACCCTGGGACCGGATAAAATTAGAATACGAACCGTAAGAACACCGGATCTAACATGAGCCGACATGCGTGTATCCGTGTACACGCATCCGTACCACAACGGCAAAGGGGACAAACTCAACCCCAGCCGAGAAAACATAGCCCCATACCGGTAAACGCAGAACCTACGACTGCGCCACTAAGCACGGATCGATATACACGTATGCATACCTACATATTATTTTTTTCCGCGCATTTCATTAATTCGCCCGCCCTATCTCCAAGGATACGCGCCGAAGGCCCCGAGAAGGTAGCAACCGGGTCCTCGAGGTCTCCGACGTCGTGCCAAGGGCTTAAAAAAATCCCTAATCGCGACTCGGAGGCGAGACGCAGATTCGAGGGAGTGCGCATCAAGTGTAATGGAAATGTCGCGTTGAAACGATGGAAAAAAAAACATATATATACATATGTACATACATCTTGAATAAATGACAAAGAGAGAGTTATCCCTCGATAAAACGCCAGTGTTTACGCGCCGACTCGTTCCGGGACGTATTTTCGCGCCGATCGTCGAGGCACCTCTTTCGCTGATAAAAGTTCGGGGCCATTCCTTTACGAGGCTCGAGAGAGGCCTTCGGAGTCTCGTCCACGCCATGCCGCGCCGCGACGCGCCGCGTCACGTCGCGTCGCAGCGGCTCGGAGCGTGCGCGACCTATCCCAACGAGCGCGTAGCCCCGTCTCTCTCGCTCCCACGGGGTGGAGGACCCCGCGCCTGCGCACGCGCACTCGGGCCCCGGCGCGTTCGGGATTGGTATTTGCACTTTGCATCACCGTCGCGGTTTTGGCAGGACCCGGGGAGGGGGGTTAGAGGTTAAAGGAATTTAGATGACCCGCGCAGAGGAGGGCGTTGCACTCGCCCTCTTCCCTCCCTCATTCTATGTCTCTCTAGCGCGGAGGAGACGTAACTGACCTCGGTGCCGCGCCTTCCCCGTGGAGGCGAAAATCCCGTGGACAAAATATAGGAAAAACATATGATAAATACATGAGATATTCGAAATGTACGAGATGTATGATATACGAAATCTAGTAGGAATTCGAGAAAGCTCGAGAGAGAGAGAGAAAGAGAGTTCGCGCGAAGACAGTCGCGAGGGAGGTCGACTCGCTCGAGTCGGATTCAGAGGACCGCGAAAGAGAGAGAGAGATAGAGGGAGAGGGGAGGGAGGAACGGAGAGGGACGAGGAGAGACCGTGGGACCGCCTGCGATTCCGCGACCGGACCAATGACCCGCGCCAGCCAAGGTCAGAGTTGACTCGCACTCGGGACAACGGAATTCTCGCCGCGCCGGGGTAAACAAACGCTCTAGAGGGCGACCGCGAGTCAAATTCGCGCCCACCTCTTTATTTCCGCTGAGCGTAACTCGGCCGAGCCCAGGGATACAATTCCCAGATTTTTCGGGAGGGAAATCAACGAATTTCGGGGGAAAGGCAAAATTTCCGGGGGAAGCGACAATTCTCGCGGGGTAACGATAAATCGGCATTTTTAAATCCCTACTTCATTTTCCTAGGACTCAACGTACCACCTTACCCCGTGCAACGTCTTTCGCATACAATATCTTGACAAACTTATATCGATTAAGAAATACTTGGTATCAAAATATCCGCAAATTTCGCGTTACCTCGATTTTCCATCGATAGAACGAATTACGGAGGGTTCATCTCGCGAAAATTATCCCTAAGAAAAATTTCTCCTTAACGTAGATAGTCTCTGCACTTATGGAGCGACTCGACTCTTTGGGAATGCAAGAAAAAGGGGGTTCTACCTTGTCGGCCGACGATCTCGGCCACGTGCTCGCTGCTGGGGACGGGCACGCACTCGGTCATGTTCTGGCTCTTCTTGGACCTGGCCTCCTCGAAGACGCTGGCGGGGGTCGCCTGCAGAGGGTCGGGGTCGGCGGCGTTGCCGTTGGCGTTGGCGGCGTTAGCGCCGGGGCACCCGGGGGTGCCCTCGAGGCCGAGCATGGAGAGCTCGAAGGCGAGCTGGAGGGCGCGCTGGTCCTCGAGGGAGCCGGCGCCGGGGGCGTTGGTGCCCCTCTCCATCTCGGCGAAGAGACTCGTCGGCATCCTCCGTGGCGTCGCGACGCCGGGCGTCGGGCTGCGCCTGCCTCGGCCTCGGCTCGCCTTCCTCGTGGAGGCGGCCTTCGTCGTAACCTGCGCGAGCTCGCCCGGGTCTGGCAGCCTCCTCGGGTCTCTGGGACTCGGCCGCGTCCCGGCTGGCACACTCTCGGGACCGTATAAAACCCGTGCGCACCGTAGAAAAATAAATAACTCGCCAGTCACCCCCGGCGGTCGCTTCGCCGGCGCGGGCGAGTCGGTCGCTTCCTCCTTACCGACTCGGCTCGGCCCTCTCTCTCGGTCCCGCGGGCCGCGCGTCTCGCTGTCTCGCTCGCGTGGCTCGGCGCGCCGAACTCGGGACACGGGCCGGGGAGCGTGCCCGAAGATGGCGGCTCTCCGTCTCTCTCTCGCGAGCCTTTGCTCCGGTCGGTCCTCTCTCTCTCCCGCTCCCGGGGACTGGACCTCCTAGGGTCCCGGAAATGGCTCGCTTCGCGGATCCGGTCGGTTGTGCCGCGCGAAGTTGCGGCGGAGCGCGCGGCGCGATTCGATGTATCGATCTCGCCGGCCCAAAGGACGCTCGCCAAATTCGCTGACTCGGATGGTCCGCGCGTCTCTCTCTCTCTCTGTCTCCCTCGTGTTCGGAGCGCGTCTCGGAGGGTCTCCTTGCCGGAGATCCTGATCACCTTGGCGTCACCGGCCGACTGAACCTCCGGAGAGCGTCGCGCGCGACTAACGGGCGCTAACCTCTAGGCAGGCGCTACTGCGACTACCCACTCGACTCGTGCCACTGCGACTGACTGCGACGCACCGCGGCTACGGGCCAGCCGGCACTCTCCGCCATGTGCCAGACGCCGGGTTTCCGCCGCGCTGATTGGCTCGCGCGGTCACGTGGGCCGGCCACCCCTCCCCACCACCGCGCCGGCCGAGCGCCTGGCGAGAGCGAGACGAACCGACGGCCGGCGCGGCGGAGCGAGAGAGACCGACGCCGGCACCCCCGAATACGCGGCCCGGGGAACCAAAGGGAAGTCCACGAGCGCCATCTCGCTCCGGCCGCCGGCGAACTCTACCCGAGGCAGACCTGCCGCCGATAGGGAACCTTCTCCTACGAGCCGAGGATTTATCGCCGCGAAAACGGAGGATATCTCTCGTTTCCACCGAGGCGAGCGTTAGCCTTCGGGTCGAAACCGCGATTTCGTATGCCGGCCCTATTTCCCGGGATCCCTGGAATGATATTTTTCGAGGTCTCGATAGGCGGGGAGATGGAAAAGTGACGCAGCGGTAGATAAACGAGGGCTTCACTCGGGGATGCACCACTGGAGGCTTCTCGTCCCCGGGAAAGGGCCGAGTGGTTTTCGCTCGTGGGAAAACGCCCGGCCAGGGCCGTCCAAAGTCCCTCGAATGTTCCGGAATATTTTCAATATATCTCGTGTCCCGCTGCGCAGTTTTCCACCGTTTAGACGCGGGAGTTCCGAGGCACGCGATCCTCGCCGTAGGCGAGTCTAGATTTTTGCGGTTGGCTCGACAAAAAACAAATATATATACATTTATATTCTCGAATATCCCGAGCTGCATTCCCGGGAAACGGAGAAATCGCCGAGACTCGCGCAAGAAGAGAGGCGAGTCGACCGCCCCTCTTTCTCGAAACTTTTCCCGTACTTTTTCCCGGGACTTCCTGTTATCACGGGCGCCACCGGCTAGGAAGTTGCCCTGTTTTTCCCCGAAACTCGAAAACACCTCGCCCCATTCCCGGAGTGCACCTCGCCGTTCCTCGAATTATCGAAATCTTAAAGCCTGGGGTCTTAAATACCCTGGATACGAGTCACCTAATTTCTCCGCTCCCCGTTTGAATTTCGATAGCGCAAACCCCCGGGTTGCCCATATTCTCCCCGGATGTCCAGGAAGAGACAATGTTTTCCCTCGTTCCAGGGTTTTTGCGAGGCGAAGGGGCCTGGGGAATTTACTAATCCACCCGGATCGCCGGTCGTTCCCCCAGAGGGCGAGGTGGAAGAGACAGATGAGCAAATAGAGGGAGGAAAAGAAAGAGAACACGGAGCTGCCGTTAATTTCCCCGAAAGATCAATCCCGTGCCCGAGCGCCTTGGTTCCTGGTCGGTATTTCCCAAAGAGTGCCGAAATCCTGGAAATCACCGTCCTCGGCCATTTTTCCCGGTTTACCTTTTCAGGGCTGCAGCTGCCGGGTCGCTTCTTTACGGAGGCCGCCTCCTCTCGGGTGGCTCGTCGACCTGCTAATTTGTCTAATCGCTCCAAAAAGCGCACCGAGGCTGACGCCGTAACGAGGCTCTTCATAAGGTACGAGAAAATATTCTCGTACCTTATTATCGAGCACACCGTTGAAGTGTAGGTTAATAAAAATAATAAATCCCCAACGACTGTTTATTACGATGCTACAATAAATTGCAGTAAATTCACATCGTCTCCGTAATACTACATACAAGTTAAGTTAAACCTATTTCAAGTAAACACCCTGGCAAATACCACACAATACAGTATCACGTGTATTTATGCATTTCCTAATGTGTGGCTTATTCCACTTTACGTTTTTCTGTATGAGACTTCGGTTACGAGGTGAGGAGAAAGGTACGTAGATCTCCATTGATTTTGACCAGGGTGTGCCGTTTTAAGTATAAGCAAGCTCAGGTAAGTACACCTTCAGGTATTTACAGCTCCAGGTATAGGAATTCTCGAGTGATCCACCGGGCGAGGTCGTCGCGACGCGTTCGACAGGAGTCCCTGCTTCTGCCAGTCGGACGCAGCACCTGCCGGCTCGTAGTGGTTTCGTGTGGCAAGAGTCGATAAGAGCGAAACGAGAGATTCTCGCAAAAACCGATCTAGACGGCCGCGGGCCTTGAACCGCGATGGCCATTGTTCGCGTCGGCGACACCTATACGTCAGAGCCTCGTCTTCTCGTAGAACCGAGACAATCCCTCGTGGTGATAACGTCGTTACTCCACAGCTCTCTTAATCCCCTAATCTCTCAATCCGTCTCTCATTGACTCTGCAAATCCCCTGCCCTCCCTCTCTTACCCCTAGAATTATCGGAGTATTTTTTTTTCCTTTTCCCGAGATGGGCCACCTGAAACAGGTAATTTTTATTGTCGGATAGTTCCAACGTTAATCTCTTACTCCGTTCTCTTATTCTCTTGATCCTTCCCTCTCCTTCTCCACCCCTCCGTCAAAGGTGGCGAGTCTTGGCCGAGCGACTCACCTGCCGAAGATTGAATTTAAAGTCCCAGGGTGTCTCCGACTAACGGCGGTCCTTCGTCGCAGGTGAGGCCCCGCGTTTCGGCGAGTCGTCGCTCCTCCTGGGCTGTGGACAAAGGAGAACTTCTGCGGCGAGGTCGGCGATCAACGGCGATTAACGGCGGACCAACGACAACGGGCCGATCGGCCAAGGTTGTCTCGCTCGTTGCGCCACCCGGCACCTGACGCCTCTTCGCTCCTGCACGCACTCCTTCCTCCGGCCCCGAGAGCGTTGCGTGAGCCACGCGCGTCGAGGACCTTTTTTCCTTCACGCTCGAAGAGCGGCGTTTTCGGGCGATGCGTATCGGCGCGCTCGAGCGCGAGTTATCATCTGGGCGCGTGCCCGATACGCGCGTTTTATACGTATACGGTACGTATACGATACGTATACGATACGCATCCGATACGCACCCGATACGCGCGTCAAGCGCGAGCCAACGCCGCGAAGGGAAGTAGGTTCCGAGCGATGAATACCAATTACCCAAAGCAATGCCAAGACGCACCTTGGATTGGCCAATTTTCATCGCACGACCGATCAATGGTGGATTAAACATTCCCACGCATGATCAGCTGACATCTATATCTTAGACGTCGGAAAGTAGACAACGAGGAATATCAAGTTTGACGTCTCGGAACTCTAAATTAACATTTCACGGTGGAAGCAGGAATGGAACGAGGTCCACCCTCCTGGAGGAGCAAGGATACCTCGAGGAAGATCCTTGAAGGAGGTCGAGAAACGCACTCTGGAATCGCTCTCGCCTCCCGTGGAATGCAGCCGGTCGGTGCAACACTTTCCGGAGGGGAGCATTAACCAAAGTCTCGAGCGGTCTCGAGGGCGTATTTTTAGCGCGGGCAACCGGTTGCCCCGGCGATCATTGTCGTTGCCTCGGCTCTCTCGTTGCCGGCCGGCGCTCGCTTCGCCTCTACGAGCGGCTAGAGAGTCGCAAAATCCCCGGCCAAAGTGCGAGCGACAGTTCTTTCGATGCCGATCTACCGTCGACGGGGAGACCGCATTGCTAGACTCTGAGTCGGACGCGGCGTCGCGACGCGGAACCCGCGGAATCGAGCAGGACACCCGGGGGTGAGCGGACCTCGAAAGACCCGGGACGAAAAAGACCGACGACGGTCTCGAACAGGCGCCTCCATGATCTAGAAAACCCCTACGTTTCGAGCTAAGCGATATCTTCTCTCGAGTCGTCGCCGTCGACCGCGTCGTTCGAGTCCATCTGGACAACCCTAATTGATATCGACGGAACGCGTGCGTGGAAGCGAACCTGGGAACGCAACCCCGAGAGGTTCGCATGAGCCCCTCCCGGGTAACCGGGGTGCGGTGCCGCAACACGGGGGAGGGAAACAGGGGGGTTGAACTTTCTCGCGCCGGGGTTAGCTGGGCGGTTTATCTCGAAGTCTAGGAGGAAACCTGGAGGTGGAATAATCAATGAATGTAGGAGATTAGTGGAATTTCTGTATCCTCTTGTTTATACAATAGGATAAATATTCCAGGTCCATGGGAAGGGAAACAGGGGTTGAATTTTAGTCAAGTGGTTAGTCTCAAAGTCTAAGAGGAAATCCGAAGGTGGAGCAATCAACGAATACTGGAACAAATGATCGGAATTCCCGAACTCCATTATTTGTCCAATCATTTAAATATCGCCGTGTCGGTGGGGCACGTTTCGACGCGCATCGCGGTGGGAAATATTCAGCCCTGGGAGGTGTAGTAGAGAGAGAAAGAGAGAGAGGGGTAAAAGGGGGCCAGCTCGCACAAAAGGACGCAAACTGTGTCGGTACCTCCGGTGGTACCGAGAGGAAGAACCGCCGGCTGTGAGAGCGGCCGAGAGCCCTTCTTTCGTCTCGTCGATAGAATTCGGGGCCCGAGTTTATTTTTTGCCCCGAGTCTTCCCGCGATCCCCGACAATGGACCCGACCGGAAGCTGGGCCGGCTGGACGAGAGCGGAAGACCTTAGCGAAGCCCGACGTCGAGGAAACTCTCCCTAAATTCCTCCCACTACCTCGGTGGGCCTTAAGGCCCTCGCAGTCATTTTTCCGCCATTTATTCCCACCGGCAAGTGCAAGCCCGGCGAAAGTCTCGCACCGCAAGAGTCGCGGATTACGCGGCCGTTGCGTGTCCCGCGGTCGAGATCGATATGCGTGGCCTTAATTGTGGGCCTTCCCTTGGCCCTCGAGATGGTCTCCTCCTTTCCGAAGACCATCGACGAGGCTTTCGCAGGAGGAAATCCGACGCCTCGCAAAGTGCAGCCCGAGCGGATGCACCGGGCAACCGGCGGATGCGTCTACCCGCCGCGAAAGGTTTTATCCCGGTCACAACGAGCGGCTTCCGGCGCTACTCGAACTGCGGTTTAAGATCGATAAGTTGACGGAGCTCGCCGACTATTTATACGCGAGTATCGGAGCCGATGGGGAGAGCTCGACACGTAACTCGTACCTGTACACGCGACGACGTGGGAACGCGGCCCGACTAGTTTTACAATTTCTCCTCCACGACCGAAGCGGCGGTTCCGGGCGTGCACGCGTCGCGGTTCCGCGGTCGGAACCGCCAAAACCGTAAAAACGGTCGAAACCGCCAAAACCGTGAAAATGGTCAAAATCGCCCACGAGCTTCCCGATCGAAGAATCATGCAGGGTATATACAAGACACTCCGTAAATAAATGTTCATCGAGCCAGATAAATATTTCTTCTCCCCCAGGATATATACAATACATATAAACAGGGTATACAAATTAACCCGACGCCTGTACCCGTGAACCCCACATTTCGAGGGCAATTAAGCGCAAGCGGCGCACCAGATGCGTGTCCGGAATACCGGAGAAACAAGAAAATGCCCTCGCGTGCCGCTGGCACGACATCCGGCACTCGATAGCCTAATAAATTAGCGTATCATGGTTCCAATCTGTCCAGGAACCGAAGTCCACGGTCGAGGGAGACCCAACACGATATTCCCTCCTCCCATATTTCCCGAAGGAAACGTGCCTAATATATGGGAAATCGGTAGGCGCGTTTCCATCCGTAGTTCGTCGCGGGAGATCGGCCGTATACGGCAGGGCGAATCGTTAGAATTTAATGTGGGACATGTGCCCCGAGGAGAGCGATCAGGGGCGGTTCGTCTCGGTTGACAATGAGGGAGAGTTCCCTTTGCGAGGAGGGAAACAGCTGTTGGCCGATACGAGCCAGGGCCAGGAGGCGGAAGGCACGGAGGCGAGGTAGAAAAAGGAGGTTGCCACCTGGCGTACCTGGCTTATGCGCCCATACCTGAAATCAACGACTACCTGGCCATTCTTTTGTGGTCCGGTGGAGGGAGAAAGCGAGAAAGAGAGAGAGAGGCAAAAGGAAAGAAAGACTCGCACGCACTTCGATACAATGCCGGATACCCCCGTGCCGCGACAACTACTTGTCGTGTGCGATCGGTCTTTTGGAAACCGCCCTAAGGATGGAAAGCTCCCTGGCTCGAATTTACCTCCGCCTTTAATCCTGCCCCTCCCCCACACGACCAGTAAATACCAGGATCTCTCCGTTTCGGCTAAAAACAATCGGTCGTACAATTTAATTTCACAAGTCGATCCCTGTTTCGGTTCAGCGGCCACCTGGGTAGAAACCGTTCTTTGAGGGGAAAAATTATGCTCGATCCGAGCCGTAGGTACGCGAAGAAACGCTTACTCGGGTTTCTACTTACCTGCCGAAGGGAACTTGTACCGTAAGCCCTCGTAGAGGCCCCTTTTTCTGGAGTTCCGAGTCCCCGTGCAGGTAAGTCAGCGGTATCGAAGCAGTGCTCGGCCTTGCTTCTTCTCGGTAATGCAGACAATTGGACAATTAGTCGAAAGGTCACCGATGTCCATCGTGCTCCAATTTGCCGGTAATTCGCCGAGGGGCCGGCGTAGCGACCCTGGATTATTCCCGGTACCCTCGAAAATCGGCGTACCGATGAAAGGCCTAAGGTACTGGTTACTCGGACAGGTCGCCAAGTCGTGATTTACGGGGCGGTCGTCTACCTGATCACTTGGAGAAATCCATGACTGGTCAAACATTGTGTGTCAAAATAATTTCAATGTCCGAAACGCTCCGAATTAATACCTGGCGAGACATGCGGGGGCAGCATAAAGGCAGCTATGAGCGCAAACGTTCCTGGCAAATATTCGCCACGATTCCCGGGGGACGTGACCCGTCGACGGTCAATGTTTATAAGGTACACGGTGCAGGCTTGTTCCTAGTAAACGGGATTAATATAGAAATACCTTCCGCAAATCTATACCAATCCCGATGCGTTTGCCTGCGGCAAGAGCGACGAAGCTTCGGCAAGGTGCTTTTCGTTTCGTGGCAAGAGGCTCCCCATCGATCGGTAACGTTCCTGGGTTTGGGTTTGCCATTGCGAATCGACTGTGCCACTAAGAGAAGGCTCTACTTCGGGATACGACGCAGTGAGAAAGCCCTCGGACCTTGAGGCGGCTTCTCTTTATGGCGGGGCTTCGAGTGCCGTTGGACTTTCTAAAATGCAATAAATTTCGAGGCTCTGAACTTATAAAAATAAAAGAAGAAACAAAAACGTTTATTACAAAATCGAGGGGTCATAATTTACGTCGCGCTTAAAACTAGGAGGGGAATAAAGGGAAATTGGTGAATTATGACTAAAGTAATGCCCGACTCAGGCGGACATGGCTCGTAACGCATCTTGAAGTTTTTTCCTCGCTAACGCCACTCGGTCCTCCTGGCGTTTGATGTCTTCGTCCGTTATCGTGACAGCCTTGAAAGAAAGCGTCGGGTCTTTGATAAGAAAAGTGGACAATTGTCATTACCGGTACCAAAGCGTTTTTGGGGCCATTAATTTCTCCTTGCTTACCTGGACTAGAGGTTGATCGGGGTTCAGGAAAACGCCAGGGTTCTTTTCCAGGGCCGTTTTAGAGCCCGTTTGGCCGGTCACCGGTTGAGAGGATACGTGCAAAGCGGTGGCTACGCTCTGCAGCAAAGTTTCTTCCGTGATGTAAGGACCAACGGGCTTCAATGTTTTTGGCAGGTCCATTGCATCGAACTCGTAACCATCCGGGTCGCAGGCTCTGAGTCCTTCTAATCTCTTCTCCCAGAATAGCTGTAATAGAAGAGTGTGGATGAACATTCGTGGATTCCTTAAAGGAGTCAAGCAATTACAGAAAAGGAAGATAGGAAAGGATTCGTGGCTAGTCCGTGTCAAAGCTGGTGGTAAGAACGCAGGAAGATACGTGTTTACGCTGTCTTTGTACAGGAGCTTATACCATTGTATTAATATATTATCCTAGGTTGTGGTGAATTTTTTATTGGGGCCTGCATTCAATTTCGATCGAGCATGCACCCTAATGTATGATATGTACTTTGAACGATCTAAATGAAATGTTTGTTGTATGAAAAGGAAAAAAACGCGGATACTGAAGATGAGGATGAACGTGCCAAGTAGATTTACCTGTTTAGGTTTATCTTGGGAGTTGTGTTTCCCGTCAGTTTTATCGGCTCCTTCCTAAATGAACGAACGATTGGATGGTTGTATCATGTGCAATAACAGGGAAGAGGTTTCAGTAGATTTAAATTACTTGGATGGTTATGCTTAATGGGGGAAAAGGTAATTATAGTAATTGTCCAAGCGATATAAAATGGTGCACACCGATTGTATCCCGATATCTTTAAAGTTAATGCAGATTAAACAATTTATGTGCATCTGAGACATGCATTGAAAATCCATCAAGTTACCATATATTGTACATTTTGCGATCGACTAAGCACGACAAGTTCATCGATAACGTTCCACTAACCTGCTTAGGCTTCTCTTGATTCCCATGTTTGATGTCTTTTACCCTTCCTTCTTGTGTCTTATACACCGTCACTGGTTGTTTGAAGATAGAAGCCGTTTGTCTAATTGGTGGTACGAGTGACGCTCCGTTTTTCACGCCTCGACTGAAACATCAGGATATCATAACCTCTACAAGCTAACAAAACACTCGCAGTATTTTTACATGAATTGACCAAAAGTCGAGCAGCACCGCGACAGTCAATAGAAATTACTTTCCTCTCGATAACAGCAGTGGCATCGAAAAATCATTAAATCCTTCGTACCTGTAGTAATTAACGTCAACTTTCCCGGTAGACGTCAATTGGTTCTGACTCTTCCTCGGTACTTCTTCCCTTGTCGACCAGTTTGTTGGCAGTGCAGACGGGTATTTCTTCTTCTCCACTGACATATTCATCTTGGCGAATTTTATTTATTCGATATATTTCTAAAAAATCGCTCTAACAACCCACGAAAACGTGTGAAAACACTGTGCGCGTCTTGCGCGGCGCTGTCGTCGACAATAGCAGACGGCCATCTTGAAACGACGCGACTTGCGGCAGCCATGACTTTTTTTCTATTATTGCGAGCAATTTGCATATCAGAAACGGCGAGGGCAGCACTGGAGAGCGCGTGGTGAATTTATTAACATTGTTTAACGTAACGCCTGGATGTCAAATCACATGAATAAGTTGCGTTGAATCCTTCATACTTGTTCTACGAGTCAACGAAATAGAAAGTCGACGTTGTATGAGAACCTTGTAAGAGAAAATATCGGTCACATGACTACTCCGTGTCTCACCCTCACATAACTTGAATTACATTCTACGTGTGTACACACACTCACGTAATTAATCATAAAGTGCGGATAGTTCTGTGTACGAAAGTGAATAGTAGTAACCCTTAATGGTTTTCATTTTACATTAGAGTTATTAAGTGAATGTAACTATTCAATCAAAGCATTTAAGTCTGATCTAGGAAAATGGATTATATAGGAGTCGTGCTAATAAGCTTTGTTGGGTTGATCGCCATTTTACTTATCAAACAGTTTTTTCTACGCGGACGTTTGAAAAGCGTTGAAAATAAGCATGTCGTGGTAAGTAGTTTGTAAGGGGTTTGTATAAATAAATGTACGTTTTTATCACTGCAATTTGTGATTTTTTCATCAGATTACCGGCGGTTCTAGTGGGATCGGAAAATGTGTGGCACTATCTGTCGCAAGACGTGGAGCTCATGTAACCATAATTGCGCGGGATATCCGAAAGCTCGAGGCGGCGAAATCCGAGATAATTCGAGCATGCAAAAATAAAGACACGCAAAAAGTGGAATGTTTGTCCCTGGATATCAGGGAAAATTATGACCACATAGAAAAATCTTTACATTATCTAGAAAACACTATAGGACCAATATACATGTTAGTGAATTGCGCGGGTACAGCAATTTGCGGAAAAATCGAAGACACTACCATTGACAGTCTAACGCACATGGTGAACCTTAATTTAATGGGTACTTATTATTGTACCAAGGCTATCGTACCAAAGATGAAGAGTGCAAAAGAAGGAATTATTGTTATCACGTCATCGCTCGCTGCCCTAGTTGGTTCGCACTACTTTTATCTAAATTTTCATTCCGAAAGAATTGTTGCGTTATGTGTCTTTATTACATTTTAGGACTATATGGATATTCAGCCTATTCTTGCACAAAGTTTGCTCTGCGTGGCTTAGCAGAAAGTGTAGCCATGGAATTGGCACCATATGGCGTTTCTGTTACTCTTTCGGTCCCTCCTGATACCGATACTCCTGGATTCGCTGTAGAGGAATTAAGTAAACCTGTTGAAACTCAACTTATAACTCAAAGCAGTAATCCTTATAAACCAGAGTTAATTGCCGAGCAACTCATAGATGATGCTCTTGTAAGTTATGAAATACTTTAATGGTATTTCAAAGTTATAATATTGGATGTAAGAGTCCACTATTGTAATTACTGTTAAACATTTCAGGAGGGGAAATTTTTTTCTACAGTTGGTTTTGAAGGTTTCATGCTGACAACTTTATGTGCCGGAATGTCACCGTTATCCTCGATCAGCGAAATGATACTGCAAGTAATGTTAAGCGGCCTACTTAAAATTATCGGTACCTGTTACCAAGTATATTTCCGGATGGTGATTGAAAACTGTAAACAAAAGCGAGAAAAGGAAAAGAAATTCGAATAACTCTGAAGAAATAATGATAAGCACAAAATGATATTCTGATGTACATCAAAATTGAATTACAAGTTCCTTTTCCTGTCTTACTTAAGTGGGTACATAGATTTCGTCGCTTCATAGATTTCTTATTTTTGCACTTTTAAGTATGAACAATTGTTTCCAATATACCAATGTGACTTACTGTATATTTGGTATATTAAAAAAGGAACCTCTTTAATATCTCGTATATTGTATAATTATTTTCATCAGTACGAGTGTTAGGTATTTCAACAGATATTTAAAAGTATCATTGACCACATAATTTTTTTATTTATGCTGATTATCTACCGACGGACCAACCAATCGTGAATTGTCATTCATTGTTAATTTGCATTTCTAATAAATGGGTTCATTTAACTCGAGCGATTGTGCTAATGATAAATGTATCTTATGTCGATTTTACCGACTTACTGCAATTTAGACTTGCACATGCTTGCGAGTAATCGAAACCGCTGAAACCTGCTTTTTGTGACTACTAGCGCCGCTTCTCAGAACTATTCTGAAGGTTCATTCTTAACCAAGAAATAGTATTTTAGGAGAGAATATCTTCTCTTCGTATTTTAACTATACTCTCTACTTTTGTTTACCATTTGGAAGTACTGGATTCGCTAATCAATCCGTGTTACATGCTTAGTGGGTTTTCTGTCAGATAAAAATCAAATATAGCAAACAAGCGGACCAGAGAAAGAGTCAATATGTTGACTCCAAGATTTGAGTTATCCCAGACAGATAATGAAGTTTTAATAACTGTTCATGCACCTTATACAAACATTAAAGAGACAGAAGTTTACGTAGAAGAAACAACCTTCATATTTTATTCCGCTCCATATTATTTAAGGTAAAATGTTTTAATCTACCGTTCTTAATCAATGTTATGAATGTTTGTAACAGCATTGAATTTATTTTATTAGGTTAAACCTTCCAGGAGAAATTATTGAGAACGATGCATCGTCCGGGAGGTATGACTGTGAAAAGGGAGATTTTCATTTGCGGTTTTCAAAAGTTAATAAAGGTGAACACTTTGAAAATTTGGATATGATCACTACTCTTCTTGCACCTCCAAAGAAGAAAACGAACTTGGTACCGACTATTGAAGTTATCAGTATGTATCTGAATGATTAAGAAACGATGGTTCCATTACAGAGCTGAATTACAATGTTGCTTTTATGACAGGCAATCCTGCAGCAGATTCAGAAGAAAGTAAAAATGGAAATACTAGTGGCAGTGATTCGGAAGAAAAAGAAGAGAACAACGATAATCAGTGGTTTATACAGCAAGAATTACCCAGGGATGATGTTCCGATCTTGTTAACAGCTCCAAAATATGGCTTCGCTAGCAAAGTGTCTAATGCCCTCACAGCATTTGATGTAATTACCCTCTATATGTTTAATATTTGATCACCAACTTCCTGAATCGTTAATACCTTGTTCAATATTTATTGTATTCTAGGTGGCATGGATTAAAGACATTATTGACCTTCCAATGCCTGACAAGACGCCACCAGAGCAGCGCAAGTCATTACGAGAGAAACATGAGAGTGACAGCTTTGACGATGAACATTATATGGCCGATTTTATTCAGACAGAATGCATTGAACCATGTATTAACTTTGAACCTGAATGGTACACAATAAAAGATACCGAAGTCACGTTAAGTGGTACCGAAAAGGATTTACTGAAAGAGCTTCCAAATAAAGAATATTTGTTGGATGATGATGAAATTAATAAAGTATGTTATGGTTTAATTGACATCTTATTTGGAAGTTGCTACAATCACAGAACAATGCTCGGTGAAAATACTGTTGAAAGTAGTTGGACTATTAATAAGTTGAGTTCGACATTGTGCTGGTTTCAGGTTTGTTATTTTTTGTTATTGCATTCTTTTTATCACCAAAACTGTTTTTAAACAAATCCATTGAATTTCAGGAATTTTCCAGCATGAAAGAAGTTATAATTACCTGCATTAGGAGGTCACTTTGTTATCCTTTATACAGAAATTGGGACCTCTCCATAAAGGTACTTGAAGACGTTAAAGCTGTAATAAAATTAGGTTAGTGCAGCATAGTTTTTATATAATTACAGAACATCTTCATTAAGTAGCTCATGAATTTACTTTATACACAGGAAAAAAGTATATCTTAAAATACCTCTGTGAAATCCATGGACTCTTTAATAACTCGTATGAACCTCGTTACATCTTAAATCAGTTATACATAAAGGATTACTTAATTTGGTTACAACAAGCATCTCCCGATTTAATTAAATCACTCTCTGACACTTTAAATGACGTAAGTGTTCAATTATTTGAATTTATAATGATTTAAGTGATCAAATGTAGAAATAGAAAATTTATATTACAGATCGTTCCTTCAAAGGGAGACATGAATCTCGATATCATAGAATTGGAGAAAGCAGCTGCCTCTGTTGTAGAAGAATATATTGTCATAGAAAATAATGCCTATTCGGTAACGGACATGTTGAAAGATTTAAACATTGAAGATTCAAATGAAGCAAGGTACGAATTTAAAAAGAAGTTATTTATTTACTTAATATATTGCAAAGAACTAATTTTGATTATGAATTTCAGGCAGGAAAATGTACCGTTGCTGCAGGGTGAAAAGTGTACAGTGCAAATTAAACAGTAGGTGCAATTGACAAAGCTTGATTAATATATAGTAAAGTATGTAAAAATGTAAAGTTTAAGGGGCTTATTAATAAGGAATGTATTTTCATTGCTTAGGTTAGAACCGGTAAATAATTCACAGGATTCAAGTGACACCAGTGATTCAGATTCTGATTCTGATTCCGATTCAGACTCTGAAACGGACTCCTCCAGTACTTCCAGTAGCAGTACGAGTGATAGCCTTGAATCGGACAACGAACCAAAATGAACAAAATCGTACTTTCATGTTGGTGACCACATACTAATAGGTATTTGTTCCTAAAATGAACCGTTAAGAACTTAAAGCAGAAAACAGTTCAGGAATGAGATATGCCTTTTTGTTTATCGTTAATGAATATTTATGGTATACTTACAGTATATTTATTAATAGCTGTTCGAAGTCAACGAATTATGTAATAATCCTTTAAATAAATATATGTATATAGGACCTCTGGTTGAAAATAAACCGCGATATGTTTTTCAAATATTCATATTTAGTGAAAAAAAAAAATTCCGACACGGTCATCTTGATACAGTCAGTTGTTAGTATTGAACGGTAACGTGAAACAAAGATATATTGCTATATCTATAATTAGGTATATAAAAATATGTTTTATGAATTGCACGTGAAATATATTTTATAATCTTATTCCACGTTACTTTTCAGTTAATTCTCTGGATCGTTAAGCCCACTTTAGCATACTAATCAAGTACGTAATATATCCATGGTAGTAATTTACTGTAATGAGCTATTAATCTACTTTTAATCTCTTCCTCTCCCGGATCGATGTCTTCATCGTCTTCGCCACCGATCGCTTCCTCGGTTCCAAACATTTGTACCGATTCTTCCCGCGTCTGGTCATTGTCATTAAGTCCGTAGATCGGTTTTTTCATGTCTACGAAATTACTTTTACCATTCAATACATCCTCGATCAAATCCGGTGCTCTTGTCGGCGAATCTTCGTCGTTCTGAAACAGTACATCGGAGTAAGAACTAAATTCCTATTATTATTGTTTCACAAATGCATCAATTATTGTAACAGCTACAGTATTATCTAGACATATCGAGGCTTTACCCGTACATAAGCTTGATTAATGTCAGGCCGCAATGTCTGAATTCCTTCATGGTACTCCACGTTTCCATGATTCCGCCAATAGTCGGCATCTTCCCCGTAAAATCCTGGACTTTCGTCGTTACCAAAAATATCCAACAGAACTCCATTCTTCCTCCGTGTTCCCTTTTTTCCTTCCTCGTTGACCTCCTCCGAGCCCAAATCTGCGGCCAGCTCTTTCATGCTTAATTTATCCAGCTTTTTAAAACCTGGAATTCTGTGGCTCAATTCAATTTCCTCTCCCGGGTCGAGGTGCTCGTGATAGTCCGGTACTCCTGTCTTCAAGACTAAATATTCGTGCTTCTTTATCGCGTGATTTCGCTCATGCAAATGCGGAGCGTGCATTATTATCCGAATCGGCATGACGTCATCAGGATCAGAAAAATCATCCACTACATGCTTCGTATCGTGTTCCTCCGAATTTATTTGTTCTTCTTCGCGAGACTCTTCGAGACTGGACAATAGAGAAGGCACTTCGACGAAGTTCTCTTTGACTTCTTCGACATCCTCCAGAAGAGCGTCTTGGTCGGTGCTCGTTTCTTCAAAATTCATTTCAAGGGACGTGTCCGTCGTTATAGGCTCGACTTCGAAATTATCGATCTCCGTAGAAGTATCCACCGTCATTCTGGGCTCTTCGGTTTGGAAATCCACTTCGATAGCCGTATTTTCAGTAAGAGGATCTCCGATTTCCGAATTTCTCGTAGAGGGTGTATCCACCTCGGTGAGATCTTCGGTACGAAAATCGGTCACGTCCTCGCTCTCGAATTCTGAGGAAAAGTACGATCTCGTCGTCTCTTCGTTGACATTATTTTCTGTGCTGAGATCATTGATTCTTTCTCCCTCATTTTTTTCCTGTACCAATTTCTCATCGGAATCGCCAGCGATGTTAAAACTGGGTGTCGTTACTTCTGGATCTTTGCCACCTTTTGTCGTCGATAATTCGACTTCTGAATTTTTTGTGGCGTCCTCGGAAGTTGTTACCGTGGTGTCAGCCAAATTTTCCGACAACTTGTAACTAAATGACGTGGTATGGTAATTTCCATCGTCTAGGAAATTATGCTCCTCATTTTCCAGTCTCAAATTGTCCGGACTTTGCTGATCGATGGGTTCCACTGTGGGACTTTCGCTCGTTCGCTGCAATAATTTATTCATAATAATTTCTAGTTCAAATACAAAGTCTAAGTGCAGATACACCTACGTTACAGGTGCCACAAGGATCGTCCTCGTATGTCGAAAGGATCGCTGCTTTCACGTAGGGGAAATGCAAAATGCTCCAAGGGACGATTACTTGATAAGTCAACCTGCCACACCTGGGGAAGAATTATGAAAAGTATTAATTATTTAATTTCCCAATATTGAGACTCGGTCGAAGACCTCACCGGTCGACGACCGCGATCTGATCCTTGGAGGCGTGTAATTCCTCCCAAATGCGAAGATCCTCCGTGTCCTGGATCATCAGGATGTCTGGACCCGCCTCCTTCATCAGAGCCTCGACAGAATTCTCTCTCAGCTGGAAATCGTCCTCAAAAGGCGAAACCTCTTCCCAGACTTCCCTTTCCTCTTCGTCCTCGGGAGAGGACGTCGAGGAAATCGCGTTTACCACGAAGAAGCGCACGTCGTAAAGTCCGGACCTCTCGAAACGATCCCTCAGCAACCTCAGCCTGTTTCCAATGAACATTAAATTTCATTAAAAAAGAGATACACCGTTAGAAAAAATATCACACCCCTTGAACATTTCCAAACGGAACATAGAACCTATTTTATAAATTAAGTACCCAAGTGCCTCAATTTTCCTATGTTTTCCTCGGCGTCAAAATGATGAATTTATTAATTATGAATGTTGATTAAGGCAGTTTCTCTTTATTTTAAACTTACATGGTCGCCTGTCCGTGGCTGAACTTCCAGGATGCGTCCAGGAAGGCCAGGACACTGACGACTCCTGGCTGCTCGTTTCTCCAGAACTTGACGACTCCACACTGTTCCAAGTAGCTCCAGTCTTCGTGCCGTTTCTTCACCTTGAAGAGGGCCTTGACTAGCGTGTCCTCGGCATAAGGCTCGGCCCTTACGCTCCTCGAGATCGTCGACGTGGCGAAAAATCCAAGGACCAAGGCCGCGACCTTCATCGTCGACTGAGCCTGCAAAATGGCTCCATAAAGTCTCCCCTTTTCCTTTTTCCCCCATATTTGAAAGCATGCACGATTTACCTATGCGCAGTATGCGAGCGTTGTGTGTTTGAAAAAAATTTGATGAAATCGGCACCGTCCTTCCGAGGTCCTTCGAAACTTTGCAGGGGGACCTTCGGGCAAGGATGCAACAACGTGGCGAACCGGTTCGGACGGCGCTCGCTTGGAAACTGCCTGTTTGTACGGATTTTCCTAAGGATATACTCATCTACAGGAACATCGAAGAAGATCTCCCACGCATGGGACGAACCTGCACCCTTCTTGCCTCGGTTCGTTAATAATTCAAAACGAGGGGCCTCAGGAAACGGTTCGCCCCCCCTGCGCGACTTTCCCTCCGTTCGAGGGAAAAGCAGGAAAAAATCCGGAGTTTCCTCTCCCCGGGATTAAAAAATTTATATCTCCTACCCCGTGAAATTCAGCTCCGGGTTCCTTTCGGTCTCTGGGTTTATAATAGGGTCGAATGTACGAATTCCGCCTTACCTGGTGCTCGAGATGGCCGATTTCGATCCTGCAGCCGAGGTCTATCGACGCTCCCGGAGACGCGATTTCCCGATCGGATCGCGTCGAGTCTTCGATCGAACGTCAATTAAAATTCCCGATCGTGACTCCTGAGAGTCGCCCAGTCTAAGAGCGTCCACGCACATACTTGGCCGGATTTATAAATGGAACAGAGGCTCCTTTGTTCTCGGATCTTTTTAAACGGTTCGGAACTGTCGCTTCGAACCTTCCCTTGCTCGAGATCGAGCAGTGCGGCGCGATCGCCGCGGTTCGACCGGTCGCTCCCCCTTAGCTTCGTATCTCTTTATCGTCACCCCTTATCGTGAATTTCCCCCGGAAATAGCGAAGGCCCCGGATCCCCTTAAAGTATGGTAAAGACGTGAATAAATTAAAATGGAGTTTTCATCGCTGGAGCTTCTGTTCCTCCTGCTGGTCTTTGCGACCCTATCGAGGCCCTTCGAGTTTAAGGTGATGCGAAAGTGGCGTCGGAAAATTTTCGTTCGTGATATCGAATCGTTTCAAGCTTTACCACGTGTACGTAGAGGTCCTGGAAGGTCTTGACACCCATGAAACTTCAATTTTATTCAAAATTTCTTTACGGGCATTTTTAAAAACGTGCATAAATAGTTCAACTTCATGGGTGGCGGAACCTTCCTTAGGGCTTCTACTCTTTTGCGGTACATTTCAAACGATTCGGTACATGCGGAAAAGTGTAAACGATTGACTCCTCAGATGCCGCTTTCCCGCCACCTTAAGGGCCTCGGAAATATGTCTAGGGGAAATCCAGGGGAGGTCGGAGATTTTTTTAACCCCCTGGAAATTCATCTCCTGGGGGACGTGGAGAGAGCCTCGAGGGACAAGGTGAACCTTCTTTCGGAGCGCTTTAAGTCGCAGGTGGATCGACTTCGCGAGAACGGCGAGCAGGTAATTAATAAATTGCGGGTTGAAATTTAGTGGAAATCTGAGGGAGTTGTTTTTTTAGCTGGAGCTGGTGTTTCTCATCGACGCCTCGTCTTCGGTGGGTTTGCCGAATTTTCGCTCGGAGTTGAATTTCGCCAAGAAGCTTCTCTCTGACTTCACGGTCTCACCTGGGGCGACCAGAGTGGCTTTGGTCACTTTTTCTGACAGAAAAGATGTGGTTCGTAGGGTGGACCAGATATCTCGAGCGGAGCCAGAGGATGGGAAGTGTCGTCTGCTGAACAAACAGCTGGAGAACGTCACCTACAGCGGAGGAGGAACCTACACGCGCGGTGCGTTGCTGGAAGCGATGGCGAGTGTCCACCTGCGAGGCATCCTTGGATCGTTCCTCCCAATTTTAAATACCTAGCTACCCACGATAACGACGAATCGTAGCGATTTATATCGTCGAGTTCTTCCACAGTATTTAAATATTTAAATATTTAATTTTTGTTACGCAGCTTGACATACCAAAAAATATGCAACCGAAGCGGTCCACTTAAGGATCGAGTGCAGATCTGTGCAGAATTTTGCACATTCCAATTCGGACTCATCGTAGCGATTTGTCGTTCGTGGGCAGCTATCGATAGAATCGAGTTCCGATGTCCCGACGCGGAATGAATAATTAATCTTGAGGAAAATGCAGGACCTCTGCATCGAATTTCGACTGACTCGGAGTGTTCGCCACAGATGATCCTGAAGAAGGGGCGACCGACAGCCAGGAAGGCGGTGTTCCTGGTGACCGACGGCTTCAGCAACGGCGGAGACCCTCGAGCAGCTGCCAGGTTCCTCAAGGACTCGGGAGCCGAGATTTTCACGTTTGGTATCCGCACTGGAAACGTAGAGGAACTCCAAGAGATCGCCAGTGAACCAGGGCACGCCCATAGTTATCTTCTCGATAGTTTCCCAGAGTTTGAGGCCCTGGCTAGGCGAGCTCTGCACAGGGGTGAGCGATAAGGAAGTCGAGCACCGGAAGTCGGCCATCGAGATCCTCGATTTCATTTCCTTTCCATTTATTTTCCCAGATTTGAAAGCCGGACGGTACATCCCAGCCACGCCGAAGGACGCCTGCGATGGTCTCTGCGAGGAAAGGGATGAAATTGCAGGTGCAAGTGATTGCTGCGATGCACTCGCTACTTGCGCTTGCGGCACCGCTACTGGTCATTACGCCTGTTTATGTCCTCCAGGGTACTTTGGTTCCGGTCTTAGAGGGTCCTGTAGACGTACGTTGACTTTTATCCAGATTATTATTAAGATTCTGCATTTTTTTTTTAATGAAAGTAGCAGCGAGTAAGTGCAACAAAAAGGTGGAGATAGAGACTTAGATTGATTTTTCTAGTTATTAAGTGGACGTCTCGGTGAAGGTAATCATTAGCAATTTGTGAAATTCTAGCTTGCCCCAATGGCACGTATGGCCTCGGAGATGTTCCTGGAGACTCCGTCGCTGTCTGCACATCCTGTCCTGACGTTAATCACGTGACCCTGAAAATCCCGGCGATTTCAAGCGATGACTGCACCTGCGCTCTTGGATTCATCACCGACAGAGCGAAATGCGAAGGTAATTTCGATTTCCCAGGTGAATCGGTTCACCGTTTTCGAGGAGATATTTTTCTTTTGCAATGCGTTCCCCTCTTCCTGGTGGTATTTATTAAATATGATTTCTCGCCGAATTTGGTATCACATTCTTGGAGGTTTAACTCGATTCCCTCGATACGGCCCATACTTCTCCAGCAGAAATTCAGGCTTTGACGCTAGCCATCCGTACTGTAAATTTGGAGAAATTAAAAATCACCGCCAATGTTCTTGTTAAAAATTCATAATTAATTACAGCGCCACTTGTGGTCTCTGGTATCGGCAGGCAGGATCTTTCATCTTCTTTGAACCTATCCATCCTGATGGCTTTCTCGTCGCACAGTTCCTGCATCTCTCTTTCCACGTTCCTTTACGAGACGTCAACTAATTTTTTAATCCTATACATTCCGTACAAAATTTTCAGATATCTCCTCACGTGTATTCCTCGATTAACCACTTATACTTCCGCAGCCAATCGATCTGCTTCTGCTTGGTCTTCTTCTCGCTCTCTTTGAAATCTCGCTCCACGGACACGAAATCGTAGACCTTGTCGCCTCTAAGTTGCATGGCCCTTTCTCAGGAATTAACGAGTTATGTAAAAAATCGGGAAAAAAATCCTGCATATCCGAAATACGTATCAAAGTTTACAAAATCTCCATCCACCGATCGTGAAACAATTCACGGTCTGCCAGGAACCAATCACGGATTTCATTCCAGCGATTACTTGTTCCAAATTGACGGTGCCAGAAAATGGATACCTGGTGAAAGCGAGTGCTTGCAGTAACGTCGTCAATGCAGCTTGCGGTGTCAGGTGCAGAATCGGATTTCACCTTTTGGGGGACAGCATTCGATTGTGTCGAAGAAACGGGGCCTGGTCCGGCGTAGAGCCGAAATGTCTCCGTGAGTCTTATAAAGAGAAGGAAGAAAAATTGAAATAAAAAGGAAACCTAAAATTTCACTTTTAACATTTTCTTTTTAGTGAAAACGTGCTCGGCTCTCGGCGCTCCCAGCCACGGGCGCATTCGGTGCGAGCACGAAGATATCGATCAGCATCGATTGATAACGTCAGGTGCAGCGGCACATCCGATTGACACTCGCTGCCAATTTAAATGTGACATCGGTTATCAGCTGAGGGGTAGCAGGATTCGCAACTGCCTGCCATTGTCTCGTTGGGATGGCCTAAAAGTGACTTGCAAACGTAAGTGCGATATTTTTTTTTTTATTTTTTTCGTGACGGTATTCGTGCACTTAATTAATTTTTCTCTCGTGTTGCTCGACTAGCGATAAAGTGTCAGCCTCTGAGGAAGGTCGCCAATGGAGAGATCGTCCCTAAGATCTGCACCGGGACGAATAAATTACCTTTTGCCACTAATTGTACCCTCGTTTGTAAGGAAGGATTTGCTCTAGAAGGACCTCGCAATAAATTGTGCTCAGGTCGTACTGGCACCTGGACCAGGAGACACAGCGTGAATCGCTGCGTGGGTATGGAAAAGAATATAAATTAATTCATTGACATTGTCGCACACCTATTTTCATGCAATTCTATTGTTACAGATAAAACGCCACCCGTGATCGCGTGTCCGCCGAATATTACCGTGGAGACGATACGAGGAGAGAATTACGCGTTGATTAATTGGACGACACCAGTTGCGACTGATAACTCTAATCAGGACCCGGTAGTTTGGAGCAAACCCCATATCTCATTCCCATGGAAAGTGACGATAGGCTCGCGAAATGTCATCTACATTGCCAAAGATGTCAGTGGGAATAAAGCGGAGTGCAGATTTACCGTCGACGTGGTCGGTGAGTTTAATAATTGCACTTGATAATGGCAAATTAATAAACTTCTTTTCGTTACATGGGATTTTTCAGACAAGGAGAAACCGACCGTGGAGAATTGCGAGGATCCACCTGTGCACCTGATTGACGGAGACTCAGGTGCAAAAAATGTCTCCTGGATAGAACCGATATTTTTCGACAATTCAGGGTTCGTTCATGTAGAACGAAGTCGTAGACCTGGAGAAGGAATATTTCAACTGGGAACGACCAGAGTTACTTATAATGCAACTGATAAATACAACAACACTCGGAGCTGCGTTATCAACGTTACGGTGGAAGGTGATAGTGGGTTCCACGTGTTACCTGTAATTCACCTCCTACCTGGGAAAATAATTCCTACGTTATCGTGTACAGATGCTTGCCAAAATATTCCGATATTTTCAAACGGACATGCAACGTGCAATTCGCATGAAATGCAAGGACTGCAATGTCTCGTCACCTGTGACGAAGGATATGCATTTGTAATAGAGTCTGCAGCGTCTCCACTTCCGGAAGACGTCTTCACCATTACTTGCAGTGCGCATAATCACACGTGGAACAGCAGTTACTTTCCGGACTGCTCTGGTATCAAATATATATATCGGATAATTTATAACGGGGGCAATAGATAATCAACTTTCACATATTTTACAGTCTCGCGGATACCGGACACGATATCTCAAGATGTGAAGATCTTCCTGGAGGGAAACTCGACGATCTGCTCCGAATCTTCGACCGTTCGAGAGGTGATTAACAACTTTCGCGATCCTTATCACCAAAATTGACAGATCCGGTCTGATTTAGTTCCTCTTTCAGATAAGTGATCGCATTAACGAAGATTTACGAGCTAAACTGATCGATGTGTGCGGCAACGACGTGGACTGCACTCTATCGAAAATCGATTCCGCGTGTACGGAAGGATCGGTTTTCGATAATGTAGATTCGAATTTCCTACGTAGACGCAAAAGGGACGAGCGGACAAAAAATCACGCAAAGAAGAAACGAGAATCGCCAAGTAAAGAAACAGCGGTCGATCGGCCGAGAATCAAGAGAAAGAGGGAAAAAATTGAGATGAGGTTCAGGATTATCGGTGAGAGTCCTGGATCACTTCGAACGATGTTAAAGTCAAATTAAATATTCATAAACGGTGAGATAAATATCATTCCTTAGGGAGAATAATTGAGGAGAACCAGAACGATCCTAGAAGAGGAGTGACAAAATTGCGCGAGACGATTCAATCGATGACGATGTCGGGTCAATTAAACCTGCTCAACAATCGAACCAATTACGAGATCGCAAAACTCGCCCTGAACCTTCACATGGTATTCGAGGAGCCCCAGGAGCTCTGCGAATCCGGAAGCGTCCTGAGAAAGCATAATTGCGGTTTGACATCCGAAATATCAGGATTTTAAAATCCAAATTGAGAGTAAACATTTTTTTACCTCGATTATCATCTAATTTCAGTTAAATGCTCGAGTGGAACCTTCCACAACGTGACAAGAGTGCAGTGTCAATCTTGTCCTTTGGGGGAGTATCAAGATGCGAGTGGGGCATTGCAGTGCAAGAAGTGCCCAGAAAGGACCTCCACCAAGAGGATGCGCTCAAAATCTCCCGACGACTGCATCCGTAGGACCTTTAAAAATATTTTAGCAAATCCTTGAGGGGTAGTTATATTAAAAGAAATTATCATCGGTAGGTGTTTGCTCTCCTGGCTATTATTCTCGGCGAAGACGCCATCACGAACAGGTGATCGCCCTGGAGCCGTGCGTTTCCTGCGAAATCGGGTTTTATCAGTCCCAATATGGACAGAACGAGTGCACAGCTTGTCCACCGAATACATTGACCAGAAACCGCGGTTCCAAGTGGCCAAGCGAGTGCATTCATTCAAATGACGTTGACAGCGACGTGTGTCATATAAATCCGTGCCTCCACCAAGGAAAATGCATCCGCGAGAAGGACGGCTTCAGCTGCGAATGCGACGACCGCCATGTGGGTAAGATTGCATCGTTTAACGATATCGCCAATTTTATGCAAAAGAGTCCTGGAGTAAAAAGTAAATTAACATTGCAGGCTCCAGGTGCGAGCAATTTCAGAATCCTTGCGACTCGTCTCCGTGCTTGAACGAAGGGGAATGCAGGGCGAGCAACGAGAGCATCGTTCCCTCCTACAGGTGCAGCTGTAAAATCGGGTACAAGGGGCAGAACTGTGAGGTAACGAGGAAGGAAATTTGATCCGTCAAGGATAATATGTAAAAGCCTCATTTTGCAGATTTACGTGGACGAGTGCACCTGCAATCCTTGCCAAAACGGTGGGGAATGCATCAGTACCGAGAAGGACTTCACCTGCAATTGCAAGGACGGCTTTGAAGGCAGGTTCAGGCTGCGGATAAGAAAAAATATGTTTCACTGTAACTTGAGAGATCATGCTCCATTTTGTATGCATTCAGGAGAGCTTTGTGACATCGCATTAGATCACTGTGAGCCTTCTCCATGTCTGGAAGGATCTACGTGCAGTGCAGTGAACGGTACATGGGAGTGCACATGCAGACCTGGATTTCTCGGTCGCCACTGCAATTTACTTGCCTGCGACTGGCTGCCTTGTCATCCACAACAAATTTGCATAAACATAGAAGACGATCCAGCCGCCAGAAATAGTTACAGGTGAGCAATAAGCCTTCGGCTTATTTTATGATTTTTATTTATTATTCAATATTTTCCAGATGTCAATGTCCAGATGGCTATGTAGGACACGACTGCGGGACAAAAGTAGATCCTTGTACATCTACGCCTTGTCTCAATGGAGGCACCTGCAACTGGGATGGGACCATCTTTAATTACACCTGCGTTTGTCCAGACACTTTCGGAGGCACCGATTGCGAAAAAAGTAGGTCGAGAATTTCGATAGCGGGAATTTAAAATTCTCATCCCCGTTAATTTCTTTTAGAATTATCTTCAGATTATGTCATGCACTTCACAACGTCCGGCACCACCGATTACGTGATGATGCAGGGACCCTCCGAGAATATAACCCAGGTAATCGCGAAATTTCGTGCTGAGAATTAAAGTAATTCATTTAATTTTTAACCTCGGCACAGTTTACGGCTTGTCTCTGGCTGCAAGCTGCCGACACCTTCAATTACGGAACAGTCCTGTCATATGCAACGCGGCATCACGATAACGCCCTTACGTTCACTGATTATAATGGGTACATATATGTCATTATTTTTTTCTTGAAGTCGTCACACGCCATTTAGACGCTCTAACTTTCAATCCATGAATTTAATAGATTCGTTCTGTACGTGAATGGCAAGAAAATCGTCACCGACATAACAGCCAATGATGGGCACTGGCATTTTCTTTGCATTTCATGGGAAAACGAATTTGGGGCTTGGAACATCTCCGTGGACGGTGTCATCCAAGACAATGGCACGGGTCTAGCGAGTGGCACCGAAATTGGAGGTAAAGTTAAATTCAAGAGTTGTTAGGTATTATATTTCTTTCAATCTGGAGGATTAGGAACGCAAAAGTGTGATCATGTCAATAATAAAAATTCCATCTTTTCTACGCAGGAAGTGGAACTCTCGTTGTCGGGCAGGAACAGGATCGACTGGGCGGTGGTTTCTCAGAGTCGGAGTCCTTTTTGGGGAAGTTGACTTTGCTGGACGTTTGGGATCGGGTCCTGGACCCAGAGTACATAGAAAAATTGAGGTCCTCTTGTCTGAACTACCGAGGTTCTTTGTTCAGCTGGAATCAAATGCAGGAGCACATTCACGGCGGCGTTTTGGTACGAAATGAATTCTGCATCCGACTAACAAAGTCCTGGACGATATGATTTTTTTTTCTCTGGGTTTTCGTAACCACAGATTCTTAATTCTGGATTCTGCCGAGGCTGTCCATCACCGGTAACGCCGTTTCAAGGATACGTAAACGCCAGCGACGACTTATCCGAAATTACCTACTCCTGCGAAATTGGACACCTCGTGCAATTCGGACAGAAAATGCAGTCCACCTTGACCAGGAGATGCCTCAAGCAAGGACACTGGGAAGGATATTACACCCCGAGCTGCACCAGTGAGCGAACCATCGCCCTAATTCTTTATGGAGTGCAGTTTCAACTAATCGAAAAATCTCCCTAGGAATAAAATGCGGATTTCCGGGATATTTCCCTCGAGGACGTATCCATGGAAGGTCCTACATGTACGGAGACAAGATTTACTACTCCTGCGAGGAAGGCTACGTACTCCGAGGTAACATGCACAGGATCTGTAACGCAGAAGGCAGGTGGAGTGGCCTACAACCGATTTGCCTAGGTGAGGAGTAATTAAATACCTCGATGCATATCTAATTTTCATTGATTTACGAATAAATTAACAGGACGAACCTGTAGAAATCTCCTGGCGCCGGAAAACGGGGACATCGAGTACATCATCGACGAGCACGAAAGGGAAGACATTACGATTTTACAGGTATATTGGAGAGATTAAAATTCATGTTGAAACGTGAAATTATATGAGAATTGAAATTATGCTTGTCGCAGGTTGGACAGCAGCTGGAATTTAAGTGCGACCCCGGATACCGATTGGTCGGTGAACGTCTCTTGACTTGTCTGGAATCCGGTACTTGGGACAACGAGAGGCCATTCTGCGAATCTTTCGGATGCCCCCCGCCGAAATCGTATGATTTACTTTCAGGTTTAACGAGGTTGAAGAAAGAAATATAAAAAATTCTAACCGAGTCTTCATTCAGGATTTCTCACGGATACGTCGTGTCGAACGTTTCCTCGGACTACAACGTGAGTTCCGAGTCCGAAGGCGAGGACGATTATTACCAGGAGAAGGGATACTTTTATGGGGACGTCGTGGGATTCTCCTGCCACTCTGGATATAAATTCCAGGGCAACCATAATTTACTGGCGGAGTTTCGACTCCAGTGCACCACAAACGGAACCTGGAATGGCCCCGTCCCTGACTGCGTTCCTCTGCAATGCCCCCGGCCGAAGGCCTTAAAAAACGGCAGAGTATTCGTCATCGATTCGTCACCGAATGGCACCGCGATCGAGATTAAAGAAAATCTCGACAGGAATTCAACGACCGAGGAGAATTCCTCCCCTTTCGGGGATTCCATCTCTAAGGAGATCCATCGACGAGACGTCTTAGAGGCGGAGGACGAAGACGAGGACCAAGAGTCGCGGGATAATAAATTTACAGATGAATCAACGGAAGCAGAAATCCCGGAAAAATTGGAAATCAATTTCCCATGGGGCACGAGAATTTCCTTCGAATGTGACACGGGTTATAGACTCATAGGACCAAATTTCGGAGTCTGTTTGGATAGCGAAGAGTGGTCTTACGGCGATCCGATATGCAAAGTACAAGAATGTCCCATTGAGGCTCATCCTCTGATTCGGCTTGTGCCTAATCTGGCGAGTTATTTCAGATTCAGGGAAAACTCCTCGGGCAAAGAATCCGAGTTATGGGAAAATAATCAGAGAGCGTATAGAGTTCTCGGAAATGCCGAGTTTTTCCTAGGAGGGAGGATGCATGGAAATGAGACGACCCTTACGTGCCAGGAAAATGCAAATCTTGACCTGCAGGGTCTTAACAGATCCGAGAATATTACAAGACTGACGTGGAGGTGCGACGAGAACGGAAATTGGAAGATTTCTAACGTCGACGTCGACGAGGCGAAATTCACGAAATTTCTGAAGAATTCCGAGGGCCTTTGTAAAAACATCACCTGCGACCTGCCGCAGGTGAGGAAAATATTAATGTCACGAGACGTGGGTAGATTAATGCAAATTTCTTCACAGGAGCCGAATGACGGATATATCGTGCCCGATGATGACGTAAATAATAATAGAAGTTTCAGGACCGTCGACGAAGAGGTGACGTTCAAGTGTCGCCATGGTTATATTTTACGAGGTTCGAACAAATCTATTTGCCTTAAAAGTGGCAATTGGTCAGAGACTCCGACTTGTAAATGTGAGAAGAAAAAAATTTCTCCCCTAAATATAGAAACAATCAGGGTATATTTATAAGGGAATTCATTTCCAGCGGTAACTTGTGGAAAACCGGCGATTCCACAAAATGCGAAATTAAGGAAGACCGGAATTGAAGTTAAAGAATACGTATTTGGTAATTTGATAATCTATGACTGCACAATGGGCTACCGAATGTCCGGCCAACCTGAAGTGAGATGTCTGGCCAATGGCAGCTGGTCGAAATTACATGGGAAATGCTCCAGTAAGATCGATAAATAAATTATCGAATTTTTAGAAGGCTATGAAATATAAATTAACACATTCATTTCAGAAATATCCTGTGGGAAGCCGAAGTTATCACCGGGTGTTATCGTACGTGGCCGATCGTACTTATACCAAGACGAATTATTTTATACTTGCCCTAATACCAGTAAACAAGGAGTAATTACATGCAGAAGTGACGGACAATGGAGCGAGTTACCGAATTGTTCGAATGCCCAAAATAATGGACGGACTTAAACACGGCGTAAATGTTATTTTCAGTCAATGCGTCTATTTACTTGCTACATATAATAAATACCCAAAATATAGATAATCTCTGGCATGTAACTTGCAGGGGATATTAGTCTAATCGTCGAGGGTTCAAGGATGGGTGGAATTATTTTCATTAAAAAAAGTGTATTATTATTCATAGATGAGGTGGCGCGTGGTACGTACACGAGGTTCTCGACTACAGCAAGTCCTACCTTTCGACGCGTTTTTATGTACAGAGATGGCTTGTAGTTTTAATTATCATTAATGTCTAGCGTCAGTTAACGTGATTCAATGTTACGACTAAAGTCATTACCCATAACGTTACATGCTACGATTAATGTTGCGCGAAGTCCGCATCGAGACTCTGCGGACTGCATCTCCGATTTTTTATTGAACGCATCTTTCGCTCCCAGTGTTCGTTTTACCCGCCGTAGTCTTCGTTTTTCCGAGCTCTTACAATTCTTTTCTTTTTTTATATCCCTACGCGGTCGGAATCGCAGTAAAAATGAAAAGGGGGAAAAAAAAAGAGAAGAAACTAACTCCACGTGGAAGAGGTGTTACTTAACGTTCCCTCAATTTAATCTACTACGAGCCAGATTCACAGCGTCTTAAATTTAACGAACGCGTACTTAAATTTGATACAAGTAACAGATAAAGCAATTTTATTAGATACCCGATACACTACTCTTCCGCATAAAAGTGTTACGGTACATTTAAGGTAATTGTGAAACTGGCCACAAAATTTCGAGGGATCACGAAGACCGTACGTTAAACATGCACCAGAAATTCATGCAGGAGTCAGTTTCCATTTTTTCTTCTCCTTCTTTCGGTCTTCCACAGACACGAGGGATTGATCGATAGGAAGATAGATAGGAGAGACGATACCTTACAGCGAAAGCTCGTTCGAATATTGATAATCGAGAGCGAGTGGAAATAAATATTACACCTGTTGAGTCCGCGATTAAACGTAATAAAAAAAAAAAAGTGGAAGGTACGAATTCACTAGAGTATCGAGATATAATGGTCCGTGAGATATAGGGCGACAGAAGACATACTGTAATTAGTACCTAAGCGTACTCTGCGGTAATTTGATAAGAGAGCGACTATCTGTACTTCGTTATTCTCATAGCGCTAATCATGATTCCATGCTCGACCGATCCTCCGTTGCGACCGAAACGCGCGACTCCCTTTAACGAATCTATAATCAGTTCGATTGGAAAAGTACTTGTACAAAATATATCCAGCTGAGCGACAGCCCGTTGACCAACTTTTCAAAAATAGAAGGAGTCATCGAAAAACTCCTCGTGGTCAACCTGGCCGATCAGTGGGATTCCTCTGGATTCGCGAATGCAATTACCTGCATTATACCATCGAGTATTAAAAATATTATTATCGCGAGATTTACAGAGCTACTCTCCTACATCGAGCTCGCAGTTCCGACGTCGATTCGCAATGGACGCATACAAGATACTCCTGCATTGTTGGGACGAATAATAGAAATTTCTTCTTCAGGTTGCTCCTCTAGAACCGGAAGTCGACATACGCGAAGGTGTCCTCGTTATCGACATCACCGCCTCGGAGACCAGCAATGCAAGAGCGCATGAGCCAAAGGAGAAAGATAAAATGGCACCCTGAGTTGAAGAAGCACGGTCTACACTGTATGAAAAATGGAATACGCGAGGTAGGTGACACAACAATTCGACACAGTACTTTGCCTATCTCCCGGGAATGCCTTCAAGATGGACGTCGGGCCCGTCATCAACGATCCACCAAAGGTCCCAAAAACTCGGCAGATTACTTGTACATATTGGAATGAAGAAGAGGAGGGTGATCCTCGCCGAAAGCTCCGCAGCTTTCGACCGTGCAATGTGTATCGATTGATAGAGATTCGGACTCCCATCTACCACGATAAGTACTGATAAGATGCCTCCATAGGTTTCAAGGTCTTCCTTGTGATCGGTTTCTTTTTCTATGCGTTCCTGAGCGTTGGGCCTCTTCGCTTCTGAATCTTGAAGAGCTAGGAATGAGACGCCCGTCCAGGATCCTTCTTCGCGGGCGAGTGTCCAGGCGACGTGGAGACCCTGTACGCGTTGCCTTTGACCTCGGCAGGATGCCTGTGAGTGCCGGTGGAGGACTTCCTGGGTGGCTTCGAGATCTGCGCAGTGGACAGGCTACTAGCCGGATGCTTGCTCTTGCTGGTGGTAGCCGATGATCCATTCGAGTTCTTGCCGGTCGTCCTGGGCGAAGACGACACCGTGCCCTCAACCGAGTGCTTAGGCAGGACGAAGGCCTTGGTCTGCTTCAACAGGTAGCGATCGTTGCAGAGAGCAGAGATCAAGGGGAGGTCCAGGTTGCGACTCTTCTCCCTGAGAGTCCTGATGTCCAGCATCCCGTCTTCCTTCCCCGGTTCCCGCTCGGTTCTCGTCGCCTTGGCGGGTTTCTTCGCCGACGACGGCGCGGAAGAAGATGCCGATGGCAGTGGTTGACTCTTCTCGAGACTCTAAGAAATTCAAGAAATTAATTCCCCTCGAAACCACCCTAGAACTAGCCTAAAACGATTCACTCACCTGGATCTCGTAAGGCGGTGGCGGTGGAGGCGGCGGTAACCTGCGATGCTTCGGCTGTGGCAATGACTGCATTTTAGAACTAACCGGAGATTCGAAGCATTTAAGGATATTCTCGTCGCTTCTTGTCCTGGAGAACGCGTGAAGGGTGTGTGGGTGGGTCGGAGCTGGTGGTTCCCTCCTGAGGCTGTGGCTGCCTCCGGACGAGCACGTGACTCCACTGTACAGGGAGCTGGTGCTGGCCGCATAATGGCTACTCAGGTTCCCATGGATCAGGTAATTCCCCACGGAACTGGTGTCGCTGGTGCTGAGGTTCTGGTTACTGGCGTACTTGGTTGTGGAGGAGAACGAGGAGCCCGGTAAATACGGAGTGCTTCGATAGACAACGGAGGTCTTGTTGTCCAAGGACGGATAAGGCGGTGGAGGGATGGCGGCCATGGCAGCCAGGAGAGAGCCCTGCTTAGCGTCGATGTACTCCTGTTTAGAAACGGCCGGGTCCTTCAAAGGAAACATGACGTAGTCCACATCCGAGTAGAGCTGCTGCTTGTACTGTTCGATCTGCGACCTGGCGACCTGGCTGGAATAGACGCCAGCCAGGCTCGGCGGGGGTGGAGGAGGTTGCCTGGAATGTGTCGCAGGTGGAGGAGGCGGTGGTGGCGGAGAAGCCAGGTAAGGCAGCAGGACGGGTCCACCCCTGGACGCGTGAACATCCAGATAATTATTTGGACCGACCACCAGTGCCGCCACCGGCGCATGAACGGGCGTGGGCTTCATCTTATCTCCAGGATAAGTCGGAGGCTGAATCCTGGGCGGAGGTTTCGGGGTGATGGGGGGCGCCTCGATGTTGACGCCCGCCGAGAAGTTCAACATCGAAGAGGAGTTCGTGACGTTGAGCTTGGTGCCCGTCAGGGTGGTTTTGCTCCCCGGGAGGATGGCCGGAGGCTTGGCGGGGCTTCCGGTCTTGGGAGCGACCTCGCCGGAGTTGGGGAAGAAGGCGGGAATGGTCTCGGCCCGGGTGGAGGGTACATCAGGGTACGGTGGTGGTGGTGGTGGCTCTCTGGGAGTAACGGCGTCGTTCCTGGGAGGTGTTGGAGGTGGGATCTGAATGCGCTCGCGGGGAGAGGTGTAGGGTGGTGGTGGAGGCGGTGGTTCCGCTCTTCTAGGCGGCAGGGGCACGAAGTCCGCCCTGAGGGCGATGTAAGGCGGCGGCGGTGGAGGTTCTCTCTCCGGGGGAATTTTGCCTCTGAGAGGCTCTATGGTCGCGTAGTCGACGTTCACTGGGTATGGCGGAGGGGGTGGAAGCTGGCGGTCGCTGTCGGTCCTCGGGGGCGGCGGAGGTGGTGGTGGAGGCACCGTCACGTAGTCACAGTCCGAGTCCATCGAGTTGCTGATGGTCTTCCTGGGAGGGTACCGACCCACTATGAGGTCTGACAGCTCGTCGGCGGACAGCAACGGCCCAACGTCCGAGGGGTCGCTGCCGTCCCCTCTGAAACTCCCAGCGCTGAGGATGCTGTTGCTCCTGGACCTCGGGTCCTCCAGCTGCTGGTCGAGGGACACGCTCTGTATCGCGGGTACCGTGCGACCCACGTCCTCCTCGCCCTTGCAGACGCTGTATATCGGCTCCTGGTCTTCCGTACCGACGTCTTCCGTGTAGACGTCGCTGCCGTCCGACCTCAGGCCGCTGTGGATCGTGTAGAAGCCGGAAGTAACGGATGCCTCGTCCGTGGTCGACTGCACCGAGCTCAGGGCGCACACGTCGCTCACCGCCGAGGAGCCGTTGGCGTCCCCCGTGGGCGAGTACAGGTCCGCTATCCTCTCGTCCTGCATCTCGCTGCTCCTCAGGGTGTACACGCCGCTGGTCTCGCTCGCGATGTCGGTCCCTAAAATCCGACACACCAACGCGCTCTACTACCTTGTCGAGAGTCAACGACTACGGAGAAATCCTACATCTCCAAGGTCCCTGGTCCCGCGAGACGGGCCGTGGGCATCTCGGCGCCCCACCTGCGCCACTCACCTGCATATTTCCCCGTCTTCTTGCACCTGTCGTAAATGGCGCCCGGGAAGCTGGCCGCCTCGGACGAGACCGCCGAGTTCTGGGCGGTATGCGAGTAGCCCAGCTCCAGGCTGGAGGTCGCCGAGGTCCGCCTGATCCTCGTCGGTCCACCTGCGGGCGCGTTTACGACCACGACCGTACTGCAGCTGCTGCTGCACTGCGACCCCTCTGCTGCAGCAGCGGCACTCGATGTCAGCCTTAGGGCCACCGCCGAAGGCGCCGTGTCCGCACCGTCGACTTCTAGGAAACGGAGGGTTATAGATCCAAAACCGATCCCCCTCTAGCTCCGCCCGCTGCATCGGGAGGACCCAGGAGTTCCGGACTACGAACTCTATCCAGCAATATATCTCTCACCATCGACGGTGGAAACGGGAGAGGTCGGCCTGGAACGATCGTCCTCGTCGGCCCCGTTTACGACTTTCGCCGCTGCACCCTGGTTTGACGACTCGGTCAACCTGGGTAGGCACTCCGTGGAAGCCGGGGCCGTGTCGGGCTCGTCCTCGCTGTGCACCCTGTCGCTCACGATCCCGGATGTCGTGTTCGAGGAGGTGCTGGAGATGACCGAGATCCGCTGGTCACCGCGCGCGCCCCGCGTCGTGAGGCTCAGCTTGCAGCGCGCTGGGTACATGTAGCAGTCCCTGAGGACCTTGCGCTCTGTCGAGAGAAAAATTCGGACGTGGATGAACGTTCTGTCTACGATTAATGAAGATGAACCATGATGAATGACGACGATTAATAGCGATAAATAGCGATCAATGCCCATCAATGGTAACCAATTTCAAGGCGTACCCTCTTCCTCGCGACGTCTGGCCTCGCTCAGTCGTGGAGCTATGGCCATCGAGAACTGGTGGGTATCCCTGCAGAGACCCAGCAGGAGCTTGCTCTTGTCGTCGCATCCGCTGTACAGGGTGAGCTTGTCCGGCTGGTCGACCGCGCGGATCTCGAACTTCTTGCGCTACAATGGAACCCGTGATCAAGGACCCTGGACGTAGACGCTCATCGAATTACTGGGCGATCTTAGGACGTCCGACTCACGTCGAAGCACAGCTTGCCGATGTTGTTCCAGGCGAAGACCCTCGGGGTCTCCTCCTCGGCGTAGACCCGCACTCCTCGCGCGCAGATCGCCAGCAGGATTCGCCCTGGTCCCGCCTCGCCCTTGCTCCTTCGTAGTCGGTAGAGGTGCGCGTTGAGCGGCGCCTCCAACAGCACCGCCTCCCGGATGTACTGCAGCTCAGCCTCCTCTCGCGACAGCCCGCGATTGTTGCGGTGCTGCGCCGCGAGCACGGCCAGCACGTTCGGCTCGAGGCACATCTGAGGACACATTACCACAGTTACCATTAAGGTAAAAACATTTTATTTATTTATTCGATGTACCTTCTACTACCAGTGTCGCTTTTGAATGCTAGGTAATTTTTTATATACATTCAAGAACTTTTTTTTCTTTTTCCTATGTAATTCTATAGTATCTAGAGGTTGCACGTCCAAGATGCGCAGGTGTACTTTTTTAGGAGCTCTTTGACGTACATGGGGCGGTAGGTAATCGGTGGGTTTGCAGTAGCCGACCGATCCAGCGTGGGGTCGGTGCCGCTCTTCGGCGTAGTCCCCGAGGTCGGCCTGCAGGGCGAGGCCGGCCAGGGCGAGGAGCGGCGTGACCACGGAGCTCGCGTGAAGAGGGTGGTGAGGGTGCAGGCTCTCCACGCCGCCTCCATGTCGCACGACGTTGTCTCGCAGTTGAAGGTAGTAATGGTGGCGTGTCGTCTCATCGCTGCAAGCATCGCACAGATCACCCGTCGCAACATAACTCGACGAAAATTCGATCAACATCGGTAAAAAGTGATCCCTCCAGCCCTGATGCATTCGTTCGGAGGAATGCATCTGACAAATCATTTGACACCCCTTTACACGGTAGAGTCCCGCGCCAAGTACATCTGCCTTTTCACCGGAGGGAAATCACGGCGCGGAATTATCCGCCGCACTTGGCGCGACGTCTGCGACTTCATGAGAGATGGGAGTCGCGAAACGGGAAATCGGAGCGTTTCCACCGCGAGTTATCGTTTCCCTAATTATCGGGGACGAGGCTTCGTGCTCCGGGATAAGGCGCTTCCGTGATATCGCGTGTTAACGGTGACGGGCGATATTAATGCGCGGAGTGCAGTACGAAACGTCGATTACTAGAACTCTCTCTTCCTTTTTTCATTTTCCTCGCTTATCTCCTCCCGTAGGAAAGGCACTAACGCGAGTTAACGCGACTTCGGAGGACGCTTAAAGAAAAATCTAAGAAGGCCTTTTCAGCGATTTTCAAAACGTCGAGAGCGACATAGCGCGACGAGGCGGCCCCAGCCGGGAGGCTAACGGCGCGTTTAATTAAACGCGCCATTACCGGCAAGGCGTAAAAATAATTGAACCTCGAGGAATTTCTCCCGGCGAGAAAGTCAGGACAAAGCGATCCTAACGACCCGTTCTAACTCCGGCCTCGGGCGTCGTCTTCATTAGCCCCTCTCCGGGCTTTATTTCGACTCTTTTGGCCGAGAAATTCGATTGGCCCGTCGATACGGCCCGGCAATCGATTGGTAATTGGTTACTGCGCCTATCGAGATAATTGGCAGTGCTTTCGTTAAGGCAGCCCGGCCCGATCTATTATGAGCCGAGTAATAATTTATAATTATAAAGGGCAGCCCTCGGGGCCATTCGGCTACCGGACCAGAAGTCAAGATTTCAGCTCGACAAGGAACAGCCTCGCTCCTTTTTCGCCCGTCGTTTATTTTCCGTCCCTCCTTTCGTTTTTCCTTTCGTTCGCCTTTTTTATCCCCCTCGCTCCTCCCCGTTGGTACGCGCCGAGAGGATTCGCCGCGTAATCGCGAAACCGGGTGCCGCGACCGCGATGGCACCCTTACAGGAATATCTCGCTCACCGACGACCGCGCCCAAACGATCGGCCGTAACGATTCGGGAAATACAGAGCGACGCAGGAACCACGTCTACGTAAGTATATCAAATCCAATTTTTGATAACACGAGGAAATGATTCCAATGAAAGATGCACTACTCCATGAAGGCTACAGGACGCACCGGACAGAATTTCTAAATTCCGCGTCTTTAACAAGGAATTTCCATTTAGTATATTGAGACATTAATATTTCATATCCTCGATGCAAGGTAACCCTGACGTTTCGTAGAAACTCATGAAAATATTGGACTAGTTACGGGGTACAATTTCAGGGTCTGCACGGTTTTAAGATTTTTTCCCCCTGGATTAATTTTCGTTCCAAAAGAGTCCGGTCTCTTGGGCCTTAGGGCCCCGCCGAGCCCAAGAGGCCACCGGGCGCGTAAATCCCGCGATCTCCTCCTTAAACGTCAGGCTTTATAAATGCACCGGGGTACTCACCTGAGGAGCAGAGGAGTGTCGACGTAGTAGCGGACGCGAAAGTAAAGCACGAAAGCCGGGCGGCCGCTGCTGTCCAGTCCCTGGAAGTGGCAGAGAAGAAGAAGCGGTTAAAAAAGCGACTGAAAAAGGGGGGAAGAAAAGAGAGAAGGTGGAACAAAGGGCGGTAAAAAGGCTCGTTACGGATTACGGGGGAAACCGCGGGGCCGCGTAATCGAATGTACGCTCGGCGGGCATAAAAAGGAGTCGGCGGTTTTTTGCACGGCCGACTCCACACACGTACGATAATTTGTCTTGCTCGCGCGGCTCTTAATCGAACGAGCGTCGCGCTTAATGAGGAGCACCATAAATCAAGGCGAAAGGCTTCAAGGCGACCGATGACGCAAGACTGTCCCTCGAAAATTACGATTGGTCGCGCCGGTAATTACGATGGGGATATCGCGTACAAGAGCGGATCCGCTTCGTTAGGGTATGTCTACATCGAGCCGAGACGAGGCCTAAGGGTGCCTACACACGGCGCGACTCGCGATGCGCCACGACGCGTTTGAATTTGCCGCGTCCGCGCCGATACGGGAAGGTTCGCCCTTTTCCTCGAGTTTTCGCCGGAAAAAGGTCATCGTCGAATGTTCATGTGTCGAAAATAAATTGTTTAATTTTCCAGAGCCTCGAGGTCTTTACTCCACTTTTGGGGAGCTCCTTTGTCGGTGGAATTACTCGGGTACGGTTACCCAAGAGCGATGGGGCCATCGGCGAGGAAATGTCCGCTAAACGAAATGAATGGAGGCGCGATGCTGCTCGGCTTACGGTTTTCCGCCGTAACCGCAACAATGTATGCAAATTCTCCCTTCCGGGAACTTCTGCCCTGGATTCTGGCTTCTACAGTGCGAGTAGCCACCTTGGAGCGAGTACGAGCGAGTGGGCGAGCGAGTCGCCCCCGCGAATTGCCCACGCGACGCGTTCCTCTGACGGCGGGGCACGCATGCGCGTTTTGGACCCAGGGCGCCGAAACGGCAAATAAGTCTATTTTATATATATATACATAACTACAGATTGGACAGAACACCCGCGCACCTCCGACACCAAACCCGCAACTGACATCCCTGTAACATCCCATAAATTCATATATGTTTTTCTGAATTTATTAAAAAATCAACAAAATAATAATGTTAATAAGTGAAATTCAATAATACCACTCAACGATATATTCTCCTTCGTTATCAAGGGGCGAATGGTGGGGGGTGCACGGTTCATCTGGGCCTTTTTGGGCCCCTCGATAAGAGAAGTAAGAGTCGAGGTGAGAGATAAGATCGCGCATCTCCGCTATCGGTCGGTGCGGTATCGGACGTTAACGAGGGGCCCATCGACGGGCCTGATAGAGTCGCAATTAATTCGGCAAAAGGATCGAGCTGGCCCAGGTCGTTGAATTAGCATTCCCCGGTAGGGCCCCGAGTGATTTAAGGGTATCGTTAAAAATCGACCGCGGGAGGGTCCCCTGGGCCTTCCGGGGCCCGAGCCTCGGATTTGCGGAAGCGGAGGTCGGGCCTTATGGGCCTTACGGGCCCCGCGAGGCAAATCTTTCGCGCGTCCCGAAAGACGCATCTCTCCCTCGTATCCGGCGATCTGAGCACCTCGAAATCTCGTCGATACAAATTAGAGGCCCCGAACGAGGGCCCCAGGGCCCACGGCCGGGAGGGAGGGGGGATAGGGAACATCTCGATACGTAGAAGCGTCGGGAAGAGACGCGATATATCATCCGAAGGGGGCGAGAGAGACCGAAAGAGAGCCGAGGGGCCCGGGCAGGCCCCTTATATAAAAGGAGACGGAGAGACGAGGAGCGGTCCGGCCCAGAACGGGCCCCGATAACGAAGTCCGCTCCAAATTCGGTAGCCGGCGAAATTAAACTGGAAGGCCCCTCGGTCGCGTCTAGACCTAGACCCTCCGGTCAAATCGTAGCAAATTACCCCGGGCCCGTCCGCATATTTTACGAACCATAAATATTAATTCGCCACGCTCTCTCCCTATACTCTCGGGATTCGCCCGGTACACTCCCCGACAAAAACCGCCTCACCCCCCGCCATGGTCGATCCTTCCACGAGAGGAACCTCCAGCTTCCTCGTTTCCGAAATCCCGAACTCCAAAATCACCGCAAACGCGATGTCGGCAAAATAAAAGGGCGCAACGTCAATTGTTCAAATCAACGATGGAGTATACGCGCCGAAGATACGCCGCCATCTTGGAATTTCACTTTTACGGAATATCACCCAGAAGAAGTCTCATTTTATAAACCGTCAGTCACCGGGTCACTATTTTCTTCGCGTTTCCTTCAACGATTCTGAAATTTCAGTTTTTACCCGCGGTAGTTGATTTTAACTTCGACTTTTTACATGTCGATCGGGGTCAATTCGGCGGCAGTCCCGAATTCCGCGTCGACCGGTAGCCCGTCACCTAGAGGTACTTGCAGTCGGGAGGAAGATACGAGCTCGCCGGAGGTGGAAGGTGGTAGGTAGCAGGCCGAGAGTAGGTAGAGAGAGAAGGGAGGAAGGTGGGTAGGTCTTTAATAGGAGCCCGTACGGAGAGGATCTCGCGGGAGATGTTCCGCGTCGATAAGGACGTAGTCCGGTAGCCTGTTTTACCGGGCGAGTATTTATTGGTTATTGGTGGGCCGTCATTAGTGGTCGGGGCCCCCCGATGCAGAGCAGATTCGGAGATATCGCACGAACGTATTGGCCGCTACCGTCTTAAGGACGGAGTCTTTTAACGGGCCCTCGGGGGGGCCCGCGGCGGCCCAGGGCCGCCATCGCACCCGTCGTCGATGGAAATATGCTAATTCGGGCCCGGGCCCGGACCCCCCCCTCCCGGCACCCCTCGACGAGGAGCACCCGGCTCCGATTCGGCCGGCCGAGTACCACTGTCTCGGGGCCTTATTTCTTCGACGGGCCCCTCGAAAATCTCAATTCTACGTCTAGAGCCCTCTGTCCTCGCGATCGAGATATCTCGAAGGCGTAAGAAAAAAAAAATGTAAAAATGATACCCACGTAGGTGTGCGAGCTCCTCCAGTTCTTCGGGGCGTACTTGCTCAGCTTACTCTCGGGATCCACGAAGAGGTACTCGCCGTCTGCAACAATCGTCGGTGTAAGTTCATTTTGTATCGGGGAATGAAAAATCGGGGGAACCCCTGGGGCCCCATGGCGTCCGCGCGTCGCCGTTAAGTGCAGCGTGGGGCCCGTACTTGGTATTTACGTATCCTGGGCCCCTCTCCGTACAATTAGCGACAATGTTCGGGCTTAACCACGGGTTATCGACGTAACGGCGGCGGCCGCGGTTTGACGTAATTATCGCCAGCCCGCTGGTCGAGCCCCGAGCTGCGCGCGCCGATTACGCTACTCTTCGCGTAAGGCCCCGACACGGGGACCGTTCCCCTCCCCGGCGCATTCCTCGCACTCCACCTACGACCTGAATCCCACCTCGAGCTCGTTTCGAGAGAACACCTCGGTCGATAGTTTGAATAATTCCTGAAAATCTGCAAAATCGAGCACCACCTTGATCTTGCATTTTTTTTTTTCTTTTTAAGACCAAGGATAAGACTCATTTCAATAGTGGGAATAATTTGGGAATTTTGAATGGTTCTTTTGGAATCGGAAAACGGCGACCAGGGGATACGCGTGTCGGTCCCGCGGGACGTCGAAGACCCAACCGAGAACGGGCCCATCCCGGGGCGTCCCGGTGTCCCGATATGGTCTCCTCCGCGGTGGATGCAACTTGCAACCTGCAACCTTCTCCCCTCTCCCTTCTCACCTCGACCGCCTCCTACTACGTCGCCGTCATTCGCCTCGCTCGACTTTTTGCGCGGGGCCTGACGGGCCCCGAAACGCCGATACTCCTAAACGAGCGAGAAACAATGAAAGGAGCCCGCTCTCGGCGCGGCCGATGTTCGTGAATGAGAGGGCCCCGAAACCTGTCCTGCTGCCCACACGGGCCCAGGACTCGCCGCGGGGCCTGCTCTCCGTCCTCCGGCGACGCGCGACATCGCGACGCGGTGACCCCCTCGCCCGCGGCGACAATGGCCCTCTCTCGACTTAATCGCGCGCGATAATTCAATAATCACCCCAATTACGCGTCGACACCCAGAAGACCGATTCCCGACCGTTCAACAGCCCCATAGAATTTTTTCCCCCAAGTTATCCTCCACTCCCCTTTAATTATTTTCATATTTCCATCTACACCGACGACAATGGCCCATCTTGAATTATCCCCCAAGATAATTTAATAATCACCCCCCTAAAAGGGTCCAACCGAAAGATCGATCCTGGTCCATTCCTTACCCCTCTGGGATTTCCTATCCCCCTCCCCGACCATCTCCCCATTTTTCCATGCCGTTTCAAATCCGTAATTCCGGAACGGGGAGATAAAATCAATTAATCCCGAAAACTGCATATTCAGGCGCAGGAGGGCGGGGCACACCTTCCTCGAGTCCCTGGGCCATTTTATCTCGCGGCAAGGGTTAATACCTCGGCGAGGAGGGCTCGGTTTAGATAGGCGGGATGATCGAGTGGCGGTGCGCTTAGCATATTCCGATTTGGCCGAGATACAGCCATCCCGGCCGGCCGAGAGCCACGAATGCCATAGCGACTGCGAGTGGAGAGCCGCATTCCGCGGTGGAGCCAGCCAAGGATGAAGGAAGGAGTCGGGGATGTAATGCACTAATGGCTCGGCGAGGGGACCACCTCGCCTCTCTCCGTCTCCTTCTGCCCCATGCCGGGCCCGGAGGTGGGACGAAGAGGGATGCGTCAGAATGCACTCGCCAGGAGGGGAGGGGACCGAGGAGGGGAGAGAGGGCCGCGGTTTATTCAGAACCTGCGACTCAGGCCCAACGCTCGCGCGCTTTATACCCCGCTACAAGTATGCATACATGTATATACATATTTATATATATATACATATATGTACCCAAGTATATATAAATAAATTTTTACCCAAGGGCGCCGTCGCGAAATCCCGCGGACACCTCGCCTTAACCTCGAAACCTCGCCGCGGTTCCGTCAGGCCCGACCACGTGGTCGAGAACAATGGGGCCCAAAGAGTCGCGCAATCCGCGGCCGGCCGAAACGGCGCATGCGCACATAACGCGTCGCCGCGTGCACGTGTGGCCGCGCGACTCGTAAATCAGTTGCCGCTCCGGTCCGGTCGGGCCCGGTCGGGCCCGGCGCGGCCGGCCCTCGTCCCCCTCGGGTGGCGGAGGGCACCTGTGTTACTCAAGGTATAACCCGGCCATTACCGGGGAATGCTGCCCGCGGGCTACGAACCCCGACCCTCTCGCGTAGCCCCCCATCGCCCCCATAGGGCCCACGGGCCCCTCGCGTCCCAGGGGATCCCCTTCGATCGAGCTCGAAAACGAGCCTCTACCCTGGATTCGGGAAACCGAATTTTCGGAAATTACCCTGCCAATTATTACCGCCACGGTAAGCGATGGAGAGAAGGCTCGAAGGGAACCAAGATGGCCGAGGGTAAGGCCCCGGCCGCGTCGCGACAGGAGGAAGAGATCCGGCCGAAGAAGGGGCCGCAGAAGAAGCGACGGGGAACGATCCCCATAAACTCGGCGGGTTTCCCAGAAAGAAACAATGCCCGCTGCCGCAACAATGCGGCGTAACCGTAATTACAGCGGTAATCACCCTTGATTACCGAGAGAGCGCCGGGATCCGAGGCGGGCGATCTCGCGGCGCTCTCGCCCTCTCTCACGGAACGTCCGTTCCCTGAATTTTCTCCGGTCGTTCGGCCGTTTTCCCCGGCATTCGTTAACCGGGGTAAGGATACGTCCGACTCGGCCCCGTTCCGTGAGAACGTTCCCCGTTCTCGGGCTCGGTGCGAATCGCTTGCCGATTCGAATTTTCGAGAAATCGAGTCGGCCCAGCGGCGTCAAGATGGCGGTGCGCGGGCTCCGTAAAACCCGCGCGGAGGTACATCCGGCGACACCTGCAAGAATTCGGCGCTAATGTCGGCCCCTGGAGGGGGGTCCGGGTCCCGGGTTGCGTTTTACGGAAGATGGATGGAGTTCCGGCGCGCCAGGCCCGAGGTGGCAGGGGCAACGGCGTCGGAAGGTGGGTGGGGGCCCGATAGGGGGAGGGGGGGATAAAACGTGGCTCCCACCACCCCCCGGGGGGCACTATCCGGACCTCATCGCATATTTCATCCCGATCAAATTATTCCGAGGAATAAAACACGCTACACGCATCAGACCGAGCGTCCGGCGACGGTGCGGTCGGGCCTCGTGGCGGCGGCGGGGCCGAACGGGCCCAAGACGGGAAGAGAGGTGGGGGGTTGGGGGCTTGGGGGGGAAGGGGCCCGCCAGCTGCTACCCGATACATCCTCGGACCCCCGAACCGCCCCCGGCTTCACCCCCGGCGCAGCGGCGGCGGCGACGCCGGGCCGGGTCCGCCGCGGCCGCGTGGTCCCCGGCACCGGGCCTTCATTAGGGGCCCCGCGTAAAATAAATCAAACGGGGACGCGGTTCAATTTATAAAACGCCATTACGCCTTATGAATGAGCCATTCACGGGCGCGCACGGGGCGCGCGAGCGCGGACGCGCCCCGTCCTCGGCCGGGCGCTCTCGTCGTCGCGATCCTCGGGCCCGACCCCCCGTTCCCCTCGCCTCCCCACGGAGGGGGCCCGTCAGGGGAGGGGAGGTCCCGCGAGCATGCGCGAGAGGAGGTAGACCGACCGAGAGGAAGAGAGAGAGAGAGAAAGAGGGCGTCGTAACGTAAGGCAATTGGCAAGAGGTGTTGTTTATGAGAGTTTCGAGGGTAAAAAAAGGGACATTGGGTCCCCGTCGCGGCGGCGCGCAGCGCCCGAGTCCGCCAGCGTCTCCGCTGGCTCGCCAGTCCCCTTCCCCTCCCCGCCCTGCCGCGCCTACGCGGGGTATATATATACCCGCACGCGTCGCTCCGTCTCACTCTCGCGCGCGCCGCGCGGTCGAGGCTCTCCTACCACATTCTTGGGCCCGAAGGGAGCCGCGCGGGCGGCGGCGCGCCTCGGGGGGCGGGGAGGGGGACGACGGGCCCTATACAAATCACCGGGGCTACCGTCTTACCCGGGGCTCTCCGTCTCTCTCGCGCCCCTTTCCCCCGGCCGGCTCGCGCTCGCTCCCTCTCTCTCGCTAGCTCGCCTGCCGAGCATCGCCGCGCCCTCTCTCGCTCCCTCTCCCTCCCCGGCTGCGCTCGTTATCTCTCTCATTTATCGCCTCCCCGCTCGCCGTCTCTCTCGCGCGCACGTGGACACCCGGGATTCCGTTAGGCGGTCCGGCTCGCGCGCGCGCTTTCCCTCCCCCTCCCTCCTCTCGCCCTCTTGTCATCCTTCCTTCTCCCTCTCGCTCCGTCTCCTCGGAAACTCGCGTTTCGGGCCCTCTCCGTCCCTCGCCCGCATACGCGAGGGTCCTCCTACTTCGCTTTCCACCCTCTCCCTCTCTCTCGCCCGCCCGGGATCCCGCATCGCGGCGTCTCTGTCTCTCCCTCGTGCGCCGCTCGCCGGGCCCAACGCTACGCGCGAGCGTCTCCCCGGGCGCGCCTTACCCGAGGGATTTTGACGTATCCCGTGGATCGCTCCCGCGGGACCGCCGTCGACGATTATTATTTTCGTCCAAGGGTAGCCGTCGCTCTGACGTTTTCCTGACTTATCCCCTGTCACCGATAGCGCGAACGCCTATCGTCGAATTTCTTAGGGGGCCACCACTCGTTATCCCCCGGAATTTCTCCACGCCCCCGTTTTACGCAGATCATGGTAACCGTATTAACAGCCATTAACTCTTCCCCATTATCCTGGAATTTAAATGACCCGGAGTCATCCCAAGAATGTAGACGTGGATGTCTCGGCGCGAGGGCCGATTTGGGCCCGTGCCATTCCGCGACGTCGACTCGGAAGGCGAAGGGTCCTTTGGAAGGACTCGGGGACGAGGATGCTTTTGCCAAAAATTCACATCCGTCTCCTCGCCCCGCGGGGCCCTTCTCTCGTCGCGGAGCCCCTTTCCCCTTCCCATTCCTACTCCCCCTCCCTCCCCAACCCTACCGGGGGCCCGCGGGCCCACGCGCGTCTAGGCGCTCGCGCGCGGGAGGGTGCGCGCGCACGCACACACGAGGGTGCGAGCGGGGCCTTTTTCTACTTGTTCTGGTTTTTCAGGTGGATTTTTTTCCCCGGTCGTGCCGTGCCTCGCGCGCCTCAAAACCCGCCCGAGCCTTAACCGCGCCGTGATGGGGCCCCCTGGAATGTGGGAGAGGGCTCGGGCGACCGGGAGCGGGGCCCGAAGGGTCCGGCGGAGGGGCGGGCCGGGGGGAGGACCCGTCCGACCGGCTCGAGTGGGGCCCGGCGGAGGAAAGGGCGAGGGAGGCCCCGGCCTCCCCCCCGACGGGGGGAGGGGACCACGGTATGCAGAAAGACCTCAAGATTAGTCAAGAGTTTCAGACCCGTTTAATGTTTGTGCAACTTTTATCCCCACCGGGCCCCCTCGGGCCCCGAAATCTTCGACGGCCGATTCGGGACGCGGGACGTCGCCGCGTCGCCTATCGCCCCGACTTTTGGGACCGTTGGGCCTCCCCTCGAGCGAAAGCTCGCGACCCTTAAAAGTGCCGCCAAATTCGCAAAATTACGCAAAATCCGGAATTACGAGGGAAAGCTCCGAGGACCCTTAAAGTGCCGCAAAAAATTCGAAATTCCAAAAAGTTTCCCTAATGCTCTGCGCACGGATGATCGCGATTTTATCTCCTATCTTCTTTTCTCTCTTGGCCGATCCCCCTCTGTTCTCTCCTTATCAAAAGCGAGGGGGCAGAGCCGCAGGAAAATCTGGCCGCCCATTTAATTCCTTGTTTTCGCCCTCACGGATGATTTCCGCCGTTCGCTACACGCGAAACGCGACACCCAAATAATTCGCGTAGGCTTCGGTAATTCGAGAGGCGGCCCTCGCGGCGGAAGGGCGGATTGGAAAAAAGAAGTCCCGTGGTAATTCGAGGCGAATATCGCGGAGCTACTCTCGGCGATCAACGGGCCCGTCTCTCCGCATCTCGTCCGCCCTAACCCGGGGATGCTGCGCGAGGCGATTTCGTCCGGAATCGGCAGTAGGCCCTCTTTTATTCCCTTTTCCGTAATCTCCCCTACCCGCCCGAAAAACAATTAACGACAAAACTGTATCAACCTCACTTCGATCTTCCCGGAGGCTTCCCTGGAAGGTTAAGCATCCACCCCCTTCGGACCGTCATTCGTAGATTACAATAACATATCGCGCACTGATAAAAATGACAAATTAGAAAATGTACAAGTACACCTAACCTTGTGCATATTTACCGCATCGGTGAGTCTTTACTTTAATTAAATGTAACATGTATATATTTTTTAATATTATTTAACTCGGATGCCGAACGAGCAATAAAAATGGGAAAAAGAACGGTAAGAGGAAAAATTGCAAGGGCAATGTTGTTCCCTGCTAGAGGGGGACATTTTTTTTTCTTTTCTTTTTTTTTTTTTCGTGTATGTTGATTTAAACGGGGATTTTTATCGGGGTGTTAAATACTATCCCGGGGCTTAATGTATCAAGAGGAGCCACTTACCGGACAATATTGCCAGGCCGAAGAGTTCGCAGTCTCGCATGCCCTGTTGGCCGAGAAGAAGGCATGTCTGCGCGTAGACCTCCTTTACTCTCGACTTGGCCTGCAACGAGATACGTGGAGTTAACGCCCGTCAGAATGGTCACCCCCTGACCTCCTAGAGACGAGGCGAGGTGAAATTCCAGTTTGTCAGATCGTAGGGGGATCCGCGAGAGGGAAAAGGAGGGAAAAAGGACATTCCTCGGAGCGAGCGAAAGTGAAAACTACTGCATGCGCCCGTGGCGAGACTGCCACCGCCGGCAATTAACACGTGCTACCTATAAAAGGGAGTTTCTCTCCGACGACGTCCGACCGAGCTATTCTCCCGGCGACGGTAGCCAGGAAATTAGCACCCGAGGTAATGGCTCGTCCACCCTGGACGTCGAGACGGCGACCTGCCCCAAGAGGTCGTCCCTTGGGACGATCGGGAGAATCATTTTATACCTCGACACCATATCGGGAAATTATCTGGCCGGGAAGACTTAAAAGGAGATAAAAACTGTAGAGTCCTTGCCAGGTTCACCTATCATCATTCATTTTTATTTTCCTCCTTTTTGACTGATCTCTCATTCAAATCTCCGACACGTTCGCCGTGGCCGATGGCATTAAGATGACGCGAAAGGTATGAAATTTCTATTTTTTTTTTTCAAATTTCTTTATGGACATTTTTTTAAATAAAATGAAATTTCATGGCTGTCAGGACTTACTATGGAGCAAATTCACGAGGTTAAGTATGAAACGGTTCCCGACCCTTCAAACGTCACTTTGAGTCACTATTCTCATTATTCACTATTAATTCTTTTTTTTTTTTTTTCTATAGAGAAAAAAAATCGAGACTCGCACCTAGGCAAGGACTTATCGGCCCACTCGTTCGGGATGCACATTCAGGATAACCGTGATTACGCGCGGCGTTCGGAGGAGAATGTAAAAGGACCGGCAGATGCATCTCGCGGAGGGGCCTCTACTTATGACACGTACCACGCAGGTACGCGAGTACACGTACAGGGATATCGCAAACGGTGAAAGCGCACCGCATACCAGAGTCCGTATAAGCCGACCGCATTGCGTGGGTTGGCACACGCCGCGGGGGACTCGGCACGGAATTGTCATCGCGAGGCTCGACTCGTCGGGAAACGTCGGCTCGAGGACGCGACACGATCAGAAAAAGGAGGAAAAGGTAGAAGAAGAAAAGGAAGGATAGGAGGTCGGAGGTCGAAGTAAGCGAGGTTCGAGAGAAGGAGTCCGCCGGAGGCGAGCCAAGACGCGAGGGAGATGGGAAAAGAAGAAATGCATCGGAATGCAGCTCGGCGTCGTTCCGGCCTCCTTGGCGCGGCCCGGTGCACCGCGGAAGACGGCGATGCAGAACGGGGAATTTCCTCGGCCGGGGATCCAGATTTGTCGGTACAAATGAGCCCGGGGTATAATTAGGTAGATCCTATCGTGTGAGAAGGTATACCGGATGACGCCGCGCCGAGTACCTTCCGTACCTTCGCTTTTATTATCTACCTTGGCGCGCGGCTCTCCGTAGGTGGCTCTAACGACGGAGGCGGCGAAGGCAACGGCCTCGAAACGCCGAGCCGCAACCGTCGACCGAGGAAAACCTTGGCAATGACACTTCCCTCGCGGCCGCGATGACGCTTTCGCCTCGGGGAAAACGTAGAACCGGTGAAAACCGCGAAAAACGGACTACCCGCCACCTCGGAGCGCTCATTCGCAGGGCTGTCCCACTGGGCGCGGCGGGAGCGTCGCGAGAAGTTAAGGGTGCGTCAAAGTAGCACGGAGCTTTACATCGAATCGTTTCAAAATTTATAATCTGAATATAAAGACCATAAGGAAGGTCCCGACCCCCGTGAAATTACAGATTTTTACCAAAAATTAATACATGTTCTTAAACAAATTTAAAAAGCTTCGAAATTTCATGGGGGTTAGAACCTTCCTCGTAGCCTACGCATTCACGTTGCAAGATTTCAAACGATTCGGCGCATCAAGTTTTATAGAGACGAAATTTTTTTACGTTGTTGTAAGCCATGTTAAGGTCATGTTCCGATCGGTTTTTTTAATCTCCTAGCGTCGAGTCGAAAAACCAATCAGGGAGACAGCCCTCGATATGCATTTGGTACTTATACTCCGCGACCTAACCTCACTTCGCTGCCGTATGAGTCTCTCGACGGTTCTCGGGGGGCATGCGCGCGCACGCCGACCGCCCCGGCCGAGGATCTTCCATCGCGCGATCGATCGCGCAGGATGGACGGTGAAGATCGAATTAAAGATCGATTAGCGTTGGCTCGTTAAATTCCTATCCTGGGAACAGGCCGGCCCGAGAAACCACGGGAGAGGTGGAAGGGAAGATCCAGGGGAGAGAAAGAGAGGCCGGAATACCGGATGCACCAGAGGGCAGCGGCGTCGCATCCGCCAGGGACTCGTGGGAAGCAGCGGAAACAAGATGGCGGCGGCGGCGGCGCAGGAGAGCGCGCCGGGGAAAACCGCGAGCCTGCTAGCTAACGAGCTCGTTAACGCCGCAATTAGACGGCCTCCACCTTCTGCCAGATCCGCGGCTGCCTCGGAATGCCTGAAAAGCCCGGACTCTCCTCCAGGTTTGGCGCGGCATCCTTGGAAACTTTTGAGTCGAGACCGCGCAAGGTCGGCGGCGCGGCATGCGCGCGCAAGGTCCCGCGACGCCGGCAGCTGCGCGTCCGACTTTGGACCCTTCGCGGATACCTCGCAGAAGAGAGAGTCCAACCGGGCGCGTCGGGCGTCGGACTGCCCGCGGCGCGTCGACGCGGAGAGGACGAGGAACCGGTCGAAAGTTCGACGGAAGTCGCGTGACATTTTTCACCCTGGACTCCCTGACGCGCCGAAAGTGCCTACTTACGGAACGATAAATCCTTGCTACTAGAGTCTACGCGTTTAATGTAATTTATATCGTATAACATGTAATATAACCCGTGGACGATATAGAACTCGATTAAAGCGCACGGATTGAGAATCGCGAGGATTTATCGATCGTTCGATATGATTTATGCCTACTGCGGGGAGGCATCGTTTTGGTATCCGCGAAGGCGTCCTCGCCGCGGCGAATCTCGCCTCTCGGGAAATCTCGAGCCGTCTAAGAGGGCACGAAAGCAACGAAGACTGGAAAGATACGATCGGTATGCCCGGTTTCCTCGAAGGCGGCTCGAAAGTCGAAGGTTTCCAGAAAACTCGAGCCGAGCGATCCGCCGCGGATCGGCCGCGCGTCCAAGTAGGGATCGCTCGCGCTAAAGAGGCCGCGAGGAGTTTCTCTCGCATAACCTATTCCCCTCACACGCCCACGCTACCGAAGGCGATTCTCGCCCGCCATTAGGAAATCCATCCGCGCGATTAAGTGCCCTCGCGCGCGCGAACATTGCGCCCGGATGGGGTTCTCAATCTTGGGTAATAATTGAAAATTAGAGTAAAGCGATCCCTTTGAACTTCACGACTGCCAGACCGAGGCCCTCGACCTGGCATTCATGAAAATCAGCAATCCACAATCGCATTAAATTTTCCGCTGGATACCCCGAGAAAAAAGAAAACATCACTGAACCAAAGTAATATCTTCTCCCTCTAACGACTAATTATTTCCCTCGAACTGATATAAATTCGCTGGAACGTTTCTTTGTAATTACGACAATTTCAGTGGAATTCGTTGAATTAACGAGAATATTTCTTTGGTTCATTGAATCTTTTTTCTTTTTCTTTTTTCTCTCTTATCAACACCGCGTACCGTCATAGAAGGCAAGCATAGGTCGCGCTCGGAGTAGGGTATTTTTGAATTCTTATGCTTTCTCGAATTTTAGGACAGAATGACGGAGTCTCACCTCGACGACGAAGTAGAGGGGATCACCAGGGAGGGCGTGTACGGCGAGGTAGCGGCTGGCGGACACCAGGGGTTGAAGGCAGGACCGCGCAGCCGTGACACCGCTACCGCGCATGCTGCATGCTTCATGTCGTCGCCGCTACGCCCAGCGTCCTCACTGCAACGTTTGCAAACCAATATCAGTTCCCGCAAAGTGTTCTCACGTTAGCTAGTAGGCTTCGAGACGTTAATCGCGTCGACGATCATACGTGGATAGATATACCGAGACGGATGCCATAAGAGCGTGCGCGCGCTTCCCACGCGCGCTCTTAATCGGCCGCCTCACCCCCGGCGTGTTTTCTCGGCGGAAGAATTTTAATAATCCAAGGAAGTATCTTTCCGAGGCGACCGAGGCCCCGCCGTGGAAAAAGCGCTCTATTATCTCGTATAACGGCGTGGGTACGCTATGCGCTCGGTGCACCGCGTGCAGCCCGTGCATACCTCCTCGCATTCCTCCTCTCTCTCTCTATCTCCTCTCGCGAAAAGGCGCATTACGAGGCGAATGCGCGGCTAAAATATCCAGGCGAGTCCAGAAGTACTCCTTCCGAGGCCGAGAGCTCCTCCGATCCCGTTGCAATTTTACTGCACATTTATGTGTAACGCGAATCTCGCGACCATTCCTTTTTTCTCATCCGAGGGGGAAGAGGGAAAACATTCATTGACCCAGAGCAATATCTCCATAAATAGCGTCAAAGAAACATCTTCCCAATTATTTTACTCGAATTGAAATAAATTCTCACGATACCGAAAGAACGTTGCGTCCGATTTATTCCAGTTTGTTTCAGTGAAATAATAATTATTTAAACTAAGGAAATGTTTCTCTGGTTCGATGGATGTTTTTTTTTTCTTTTTCTCGGTAAAGAAGGATATTGCTCGAGCTATCCAGAGATCGTCGAGTAGACGAAACGGAGGCGAGGGTGCGGGACGTAAAGCGTAAATCGTAAAACGTAAGAGGTCGAGCGTAAAATGTAAAGGCGTTAAGCGTAAACGCACGTGGGAGGGTATATAAACAATGTGGACTACATACCAGGGTTATGAGTAAGAAACCGAGCCGAGCTGCCCACCATCGCGTCTCGCTCGAGCCGCAGAGAGCGGCTCTCTCTCGAGCAAATCTAATTACTTAGGCATACACCGAGGCATACGTGCACACACCTCTAGGTCTATCCATTGCCACCCACACACCCACCCACGGGGTGCTAGGTGTCGGTTAGGTGTCTCTATCCGAAGGAGACCCTCGCCGTTTCGTCGCGGGCGCGTCCATTACCGTAAATCACTTTGATCTCCGCCGATTACTACATATATAAATATAATTGCAAGAAACGATTATTTTATCGGGAAGAAAAATTCACCTTGTCGATTTAAATGAATTTCGTTTAGTCAGACCTGGTTACCCAATTCCAGTTAACCGAAGTTTAACTGGATTATACGCGGTTTAAACCTGCCGTTAACTAATTAAACTTCGGTTAACGTGAGGTGTGGAAACGGGCTTGAATTTCTGGAGGATTTCGCATGATCTTGTGGTCGCAATGCATGTGTCGACCGAGTCGATTGTTTTTTCCCTCAGTTTCTACGAAAAGGGGCTCCTTAAACAACGGGCCCTCGTGAACTCGGACGGATTTCAGCCCGGCCGAGAAAGTCGGGACTTCGTTAACGGCATCGCTTAAATGCCGCGGTTTTACGTGTCTTCGATTAATTCGCCATTCGAGTTCACTGGGGCAAGAGCGGCGAACTCGCTCGGAGATCGCGATAGCGGGAGAAACTCGCTCGCCATAGATACGTTACCAAGGAAAACGGACGGATTATCCAAACACCGATGTCGCGATACAGGGCGACGAGGCATGAATTAAACCGTGGAATAAAAGGGAGGGAAAGGTAGCCGTGAAAAAAAAATAAAATAAAAAATAGAAAGAGAAACGCAGGAGGAAGTTTTCCCTCCGTATCGCCTCTCGAGGAGTTAGCTGCTCTCTCAAAGTCCAGCGAATTCGCACTTGGACGCGGCGTGAAACTGCAGAAGCTCGGTAATTGGACCTTAGGTGCGGAATGCTGCCGCATATTTCTCTTCCTTCCCCCACCTCTTCATCCCGTCTTGAGAGCGAGAAAGAGGGAGAAAGAGAGAGAGAGAGGTGACTAGGCGAGAGAGTCAAGGGTTCCCCTCGTGGGCACGTATCCGTACTCGAGTGCAAACGAGAACCTTTGTCGACATTACTTCCGGCGATTTCTCGCAACCGGATGTACCGTTAGTACTGCTCCCTTCATCGCAACCTTAAGGGAGGAGAAACGCGCCTTGACACGTCCCGCGTAATATCCATTGACCCTCGTTTATTGCATCGACGTAACGACGCGCAACGTCTCATTAGCATACCGATTTAATGCTTCCCGGGCGATCTGTAGCGTGCGTTACGCGTTTTTGAAAAAACGAGGGGGGGAGTTATTAAAATCGCTAATTAAGCCGATAATTTATATGCCCGGTCCTCCCGGGCGGACAATGCGCGAGACTAAGCGCCCGGGCGACCGGTCGGTCGGTCCCTTCCCCCGAGAGCGGCGCACCGGGCTTCCCGGAAAAATGATTCCCGCGCGGTTGCTCCGTCCATTTTATACCCCACCGAGCGGGGCCGACCTCGGCCGAGCGCTGCCGAGCTCGGCCGGCGGCTCCCGAGGACGGGCGGACTCGGCCGAACTCGCGCCGCTCGAAGGCGAGCCGCCCAAAGGCGATCCGGACGCCCGCGCCGAGAGACGCCGGAGCTGCGCGGGAATGCGGAAGCGGACTCGTGCGTACGCGCCTCCCCAAGAGTACGTGTAATATTATTTATGGGCGCGTCCGTCATACGCGAGTCTCTCCCAGGGTACGTATGCAGACAAGCGCCGGTTAACAGACCGCGACCGAGGCCTGCGCGCATCGGCCGCGCTTTAATTCGCTGTCCCCCTACTCGACTGTCGCGGGGAATCCTGCGCGGAAGACCGGCGCGAGCGGGATTTCGACCGCCAACCGTTGCCAGGCGAAAAGGTTGACGCGGGAAAAAAGAAAAAAGAAAAAAAAGAAAAACCAGAGAGGTCGCAAAAAATCCGGGAATTCGTTACGTCGACGACCGTTGACCCGGAGATAGTATATCACCTGGAATCACCCGATTCCGAGGCGCCACGAGACACCTGATTGCAATATCGCGGAGGCATAAAGATACGACCGGCAGACGTCTCAAACAGTATTTCACGCTTACGAGCATGTAGAGTAAATTAATTCCCGCTGATAAATCGCGTCATCGCCTGATCGCTTCGGCGCACGTGTCTTCGCCGGCCATTTAGTCGGTCGCGCGCAGGCGACGCGGAAGGAGATCCTGCGTTAAGTCGCCGGCCGCGTTAGTTTTTTATTTCTCTCCCTCTCTCTCCTGGAGTCGCATTTCAAAAAATTCGCACCGTACACGGTCCCCATTGGGATATAAATAAAAAAGAGAGAAGAAAAAAACGCTTAGCCGCCTCGTAGCGAAATGCATAAACAAACATTCCTCGGGGTCCAATTTTGCTGCGAGTGCACGCGAGTGTTTTGAATTCCATGGAATGAACGAACCTCTCGCGTCGTTCGCGAATTCCGTAAAAACTCGGCTGTCAAGGTCTCCATGGCACGCGAAAAAAAATTGCTAAGGATAAGATGCATATTGACAGTTAATTAATAATTGAAAACTGTTCGTTACTTTTTTTTTTTTTTAAGGTTTCTAGGCATCCGTCCGTAATCGCGTCCGGAAATTCGCCGGTCTGAGAAGAAAAATGGCGGCGACGCTCGGCGTCGCGGACTACGCGGTGTGCGCTGCGACACTGCTTATCAGTTCCGGCATCGGCGTCTATTACCGGCTTACCGGCGGAAGGCAGAAAACTACCGAGGTAATTATCGGCCGTCGGTCTCTCGTTCCATCCGTCCGCTTCTTCGCACCTTTCTTTTCTACGCGGCTGAGTCGACCGCTCTCGACCGATCGATCGATCGATCGATCGATCACCGAGAGCTCGCGCGACGAGCGACACGAATGCGGATCGAGCCCCCGCCGGTTTCTTGTCGCCCCGATTCTCGCCACTTTGCCCTTCCCTATCCAACCCTCCCACTATTTACCTCCTCCAAAAATGTTTAAACAAATCAAACTAACTCCTAAAATACATCTCTTTAAATTCCCACTTCTAAAGTTCACGATTCAGTTTACCCCGAGTTTCAAATTTAAAGTCACAGTAATTTCGATATCACTCTTAATATCATTAACTACGAGCTTGAATCGAAGTTCAAAAAAAAAATTCTCCAAATTAAGCTTAAAAATGAGAATTTTCAGATACCAAGGAAATCCCTGAAAATCATTTTTTTTTTTCACTGACTGTAACAATTCCCTGTTTTTCGTAGGAACTCTAGGGAGAGACTTTTTAGGTTATAACCGACTTTGCTAATTTCTTTTTCTCCCCGTTTAACTAAACCTAGGAATACTTCGTGGCGAACCGGGCCATGTCGGTGGCCCCCGTGGCCGTGGGGCTTATGGCGTCCTACCTGTCGGCCATCAGCCTCCTCGGAGTCAGCTCGGAGAATTACGTCTACGGAACCCAATACGCGGTGGTCAACATTTCCTACGGACTGGCGACCCCGTTCGCGGCGTACCTTTACCTGCCGGTATTCTTCCGCCTAGGCGCCACCAGCGCCTTCCAGGTACGGCCTCCGACCGTCCGTTTGTTTTGCATATGCATTTCCAGGCCGTGTTTTCGACATCCGTACAATGTACCCGGCTCGAGGCTGCGCCTCGACGTAATAATGGGTCTTCCTCTCTCCAGGGTACCGCGAAGGCGTAATTTCCCTCCGCTATTCTCCATATCCCGTAGACGTCGTCCAAGCCGCGCGATGATGTTTTAACGATCGGATAGCGTTACCGGCACAATGAGATCGTTCTTAAAATATGAGGATCATAATCCAGCCGGGCGAACAATGAGCGGTATACTCCAAAGTAAAACACGTAGACTCTACGCCTAGGCTGGACTATACGCAGTAAACGATCGAACGGATCGGAAATAAACGCCCGATCGCGGCAGGTGCAACGGCACCGGTCGTCCTTCTCTTCGTTTTAATTCTTTTCTCCCTTTGGGTAAAAAATGTACCCAACACGGGATAATGTGACTGATAGCGCGTAGGTGAAGGGGGATTACTCCTGGATTTTTCATTTGAGGTTTAGCATTCATTTTGTAGAGGGTTTATCACAACACCTTCCCCATTGCAGTACTTGCAGCTGCGTTTCGGCAAGGTGACCAGGGTGATCGCCAGTGCGGCGTTCCTCGTGCAACTGTTGCTCTACACAGGTGTGGTGCTCTACGCCCCCTCCCTCGCTCTAGAGGCTACGACGGGTTTCTCCAAAACCTGGAGCATCATCGTCATCGGCCTCGTCTGCATCTTCTACTCGGCCCTGGGAGGTATCAAGGCAGTCCTCGTCACCGACATCTTCCAGAGCGTCCTGATGTTCCTGGGCATCCTGACGGTGATCGTCACCGCGACCCTCCAGGTGGGATCCATAGGTCGGATCTGGGAGATCGCCGAGGAAGGATCCCGGATTCAGTTCGACAGGTACTTCCTATCCCCTCATCGAAGTCTCTCGTCCTCCTACCCCCCCTTAGCCCCTTCGGGTGTTACGAAAGTGTTATATATACATTAAATACTTTCACGTTTATACATATATAATGACCCCTTCGTATCACTTTAATTCCTCCTCTTCGGGTTCTTCTCAGCATATCGATCGACCCAACCGTGAGACACACCTGGTGGAGCCTGACCATCGGCGGATTCTTCACGTACCTCTCTCTGTACGGCGTCAACCAGGTGCAGGTGCAGAGGATGCTGACGATCAAGTATGCATTCCGTGGGGATAATTTTCCTTTTTCCTCATTTATGCTATGTCTGTCATTTTTTTATCCCTTTCATCAGAGATTTAAAGTCCGCGCAAGCGGCGCTCTGGTGGAGCTGGCCGATCGCCTCGGTAATGTCCCTCGTCACCTGCTTCTCCGGGCTGGCCATCTACTCCAGGTACAAGGACTGCGACCCGGTGGCCGCCGGCCGGATCCAGCAGAACGATCAGCTGATGCCGCTTTACGTAATGGACACTCTGTCCCGGTACCCCGGGTTCCCGGGGCTCTTCGTTGCCGGCATCTTTAGCGCGGGCCTCAGCACCATTTCCGCCACCCTGAACTCCGTCGCCGCGGTCGTCCTCGAGGACTTCATCAGGCCCGCCTGTCGAGCCAGGTATGACGCAAAACGAGTGTGCCGAATCCCCGAAACTCTTCATTTCGATGTAATTTTTTTTTCTTCGCCATTTCAGAGGGAAGACGATATCCCCGAGTGGTTCCATCCTCGTCAGTAAGGTGCTGGTGATCCTGGTCGGGGGCGTCTGCCTCGCCGTAGCCTTCCTGGCCCAGCACCTCGGGGGCGTTCTTCAGGCTGCCCTGACCATCTTCGGGGTCGTCGGGGGCCCGACTTTGGGCCTCTTCACTCTCGGCATGTTCTGCAAACACGTCGAGGAGAAGGGCGCCGTCGTCGGGTTCCTTCTTTCCCTGATGTTCTCGCTCTGGGTCGGCTTTGGCCAGCCGAAGCCCGGTATTCCGACCCTGGATGTATCCACTTCCGGCTGCAACGACACCGCCCTGAACGGGACCTGGACCTCGTCGATCGTATCCCCGTAAGTCCCGGTTTTCTAGGTTATCGCGACTAATCAAGATAAGCGACCGATTATGCGCGATTTAATCCCCATCTTCGATTTTCCATCCCAGGGTCCACGACGACGGCTCTTCCTATTTCTACCTGTACCGCATCTCCTACATGTGGTACTGTCCCCTGGGATTCCTGATGTGCCTCCTTATCGGCCTGCTCGCCAGTCGGATATTAAGGTGGGCCCATTATTCCAGGGACCCCGAGGACCTCGATCCCGACCTCTTCGTCCCCGCTATAGCCTCGAGGATGCGCAAAGATCAGATGCAGCTCGACGGGGACAACAAACGTGAAACGTGAAACGTTCCCAAGAAACGAGAGTGCCCGCTCATTGACTAAATAATATCTTGAAAACACAAATCTAGTTGGTCTTCTCTCGTCCCTCCGGGCTGTTCTCTCTTCACTCTTCCGGGTCGGCGTCATAAACTCGACGGGTCGGGTCGATCCCTCCTCGATTTTTCTCCCCCGATCGCGAGCGACTTCTGAATCGAGTCGTAAAGATCGGCCAGGCCGCGCGACCTAACCTCCAAAGAGAACCGGAGAAACACACCGCGGATACCGGAACGGACGTAAACACCGAGCGCCCGATGTCGAACGTTTACCGAAACGTTCGCAAATCACGAAGGAATGCCGTCCGACCGGGGTGCTCTTTCTCTCTCGCTCTCCCGGGCGTACCCGGTGACATATGGAACGAACCGATCTCGACGAGTCGCGGATCCACGCAACAATGGCGCTCGTCCGAGGAAATCCCCTAACCTCCCCCATAAATCGGTATCAAGGATGATCCTTAAGGATTGAGATATCCCGTGATAATGGGTAATCGGACATCGGCGCGCCAAGGAAAATGCCGATCGAATGACTCGGGTCTAATTGGCCAATTATTGGGAGAGCGCGGTATCAATTGTTCTCTCCTGTATTCTCTTTTCTAGACCCTTAACAATTTTAATTGGGAGAGGTTTCGTCATCGAAGGACTCGTCGAACGGTTCCTTTATCAGGGTGTACGTACCGATTCACGGTCATCCCTGTAGTGGGGTATCCGGAATGGAGTGGAGGCTGCCGAAGCCGCGAGCTTGCGCGAGAGAAAGGGAGAGGGAGAGAGACGGCGCTAGGCGGGCCGGGCGGCCGAGAGAGAGAAAGACCGAGGGCGCAATGAAATCCTTACGGCACGTTTATGGGGTCGTCCCGGCACGTAAGACGACCGAACGACCGATAGAATTCTCCGCGGCTGCTCGCCTATAAATCGAGAGCCGGCCAGCATTTTCAGCAATAAACCTAGAAATCTCGCGGGCTTTTACGAGGACGTAAATTCCCCACTTTTCATTCTAATGCCCGCCCCCCTGGCCCCATAGATCGTCCGGGCCCTTTCCCCGTCGAGGGCCCTACGATCTCGCGAAGGGGCCCCCTTAAACCCCCTGGACCAATCTATCAAAAGATTCGAAACCATCTCCCGCGTCTTCACCCTCTGTCTCTTTCTCGCGACCAGTTTAATCACTCGAATGGTAAATGATAAATTGGGCGAAAGAAAAAAAATCATCCAATCAACAAAATATTTCTTCAAAAATTCGACTCGAAGTAAACCGGAATAAATCTCCATTATTCCGAAGAAACGTTGCAACCAATTCATTCGAGTTTATACTGGTTAAATAATTATTCTTTGAATTATCGAAACATTTCATAGGTGCCATTATATTTCTCTGGTTCTTTTTTTTTTTATCCTCGGTGTATAGAAAAGGTCGAATACGGCTGTCGCCGATTCTAATCCTTGATTTGGCCGAGTATCTTGCCGAACAAAAGAAATAAACCGGGGGAAAATCAAAAATAAATGTAACAAAAAACTGTGAAAGGGGCCCGAGCGAGGTCGCGCGCCATTACTGCATCGGGCCTGAGCATTCTCCATAATTAAACGAAATAAGAGCGCCTCGGCGCCCGACTTCGCTCCGTCCCGCTCGCTCCCATTTATAATACCGGGCATTCCTTGCATAAAGCGAATCGTTCCCGGACGACTTCTTGCCGGGCTTATAAGTGGCGCAATTACGCGCAAATCCGCCATTGGCCGTTGTGCTCCCTTCCCTCCTCGGCCCTGCAGGGCGCCGGCGCGGTAGATAAGCGCCCGCGCATGCGTCCCGAATAGTCCGACAGCGATCTCGATATCTCCTTGCACTATCTCCTACCCAAACGACATTACCTCACGTAAGCCAATCTTAATTCCGAGTCGAAGAAAGCCAAAGAGAACCAAAATAACCTAAAATTTCAATTAATTCGAAAACTTCGTATATCTACGTATTTTCGCCCACTCCTGAGGAATATGAGAGTAAAAAAAAGATTATCTTATCTACGCCTTAGGGGGTTCCGACAGAAGTGTATGTAAATTACCCTGGATTTTCAATCATCCCCGAGATCCCTAAATCACGACTTACGGAGATGCAGCGCTCGGACTCGACAAAATCGCGCGCGCGTCCGCGGCGGAGCGTCACTCTCGCGCCGACCTCCGTCGGGTGCGGACCTAGGGGCCGCTCCCCCTAAAACTCCCGGTCGGCCGTTAATCGCGTCAGAATGTGGGACTGGAACGAGACCGCGAGGTATGCGGCTGACCCCGGAGGGGTAGCCTCGTTATCGGGCCCCGGGTAGCAGTACATACATATTTCCTCGCGGCTATCTCTCGGTACGTCGCGGCGCCGCGTATGGGCACAACAATGCCGATCGATCGGGATTGGCCGGGCGATCGTTAAAGCTCGTTAGCCAGTCATTGTCTAGCATGACTGTTACCTCCTGCAAAACTAGCCGACCTGCCCCCTTCCTCCACGTACGGTACCTTAACCTTTACGAATGATCGTGCAACGTCGACGGTGACCGAGGGGTACGACCTCCGCCGGTTCTGGTAGTAACGATCATTTCGTGCCATTTCCTCGAGAAGGGCTCTTATCGCTCCCCGATGCACTTTTCCCCGACATGCATGAAATGGGTACGCATCGGCGAGGGTGTAAAAAGAAAATTAATGAAAATTATTACCCGATATTACGGGGGTATTCCCTTATCGCGAGGGTGACGTATGTACTCGTTGTCGAAGAGCCGATTCCCGGGATAGTGGAACTTGATATCGAAAGAGAGATAATAAAAATAAAAATGTTTCCCTTACTTTCTTTTATTTTTTTATTTTTTTTTTGACGCACACCGCGAGAGGAGTGCACTTCGCAGAGTGCGTTCGGTAGCCGGGGAATCCTTCGCTTCGTAAAATAGTTTATAGCGTCGTAGCTTCTCCCCTTTTCTCCCTCCCTCTCGCTTCCTCATGGCGCGCATATCTGCCTAACGAGCGTGATGCAGTATATAACGGCGTTATAATAAAGTCGGCTTTGCCCGAGCGAGTAGGCGTTGCGTGTCCGTATATAACGATATCGCGAGGGGTCAGGCATTCCTCGAGAGTGCACGGTGGGCCGAAAGGGTAAGAAAAGGGGAGAGAGAGAAAAAAAAAGAAAGAGAGGGAGGGAAATAGTAAATTTGTCATCATGCCACTCGAGGAGTCCGGAAGGGAGGCATAACCGGCGGGGGTACAAATAATCACCGGGGTAGGAATAATCGCGAGTGGATAATTTCGCAACGAGCCTGCGAGTTACGAGGCCGTAAATATCCCAGGTCGCCTCGTGCAGGTGCGAATGAAATTTCGAAGTTTTCACATTTTCACGTTATTCTCCTTTGTTCTTTTTTTTTCCCCTCTTTCTTTTTCTCTCCCCGGGATTCCAGGGACGGTGTCGAAAGCGGAGGCTCTCTCGTCCGAAAAGGATGGCTTACCTAGATTCTCCCGTCCTCCGGATCCCCCGGCTCCGTTCCCCTCACGGTGCACCCTGCAACAGAATCGGTCGAGTTATTCGAGAAATGTGGAAGATCGAGACGCACCTCGAAGATCCTTAGGATGATCTCACGAGGCGCGAGGAAAAAAAAAACGAAATCCAGGCCACCCTCGTTAAGGAGGCCCCGATGCTCACGGCGCGTTTCGGAACGTTTCGTTAGGTGTCGGATACGGCAGGGTTGATAAAAATCATGATTTCTTAAAAAAAAAAAAAGAAAATGTGATGCGAATGTACTTGGCGCGGGACTCGACCGAGTTCCTCCTCCGGCGATACCGCGGATACATATAGCGAGGAGTCTTGCTCTCGGAGAGATTCGACTTTTCCTGCGTTTCGGGGGGAATTCCCGGGATGCCAGCGTAGAGTCCCGAGGGAACCAAGCGAGGTAAATACGGTAGAGTGCTCCTCCCGTCGCTCTACCTGGCCCGGAAGGTCCCCGGAAGGGCCCCGAAAATCGCCGTTCCCATACGGATGCCTGGAATACCTCCGAGAAAAGGAAGCAAGAGGGAAGAAGAAGGGGAGGCTGTGAAATCTCTTCCCCTTGCCGAGTTCCCACCCCACTTCGCATCCACATCGAAACCACATGACCCAGGTCAAGAACATCCCTCATAATTCCGAAATCTTCGTTAACCATGAATAATCGATATTGCAAAAAAAAAAAATCTCTCTCACCTTCCAGCGCCCCTTTCGATATTCGATAAAAAAAAGGAAGTAAGAGTTCAAGGGATTAAGTGACAAGGACTCATCCCGAGTCCTCGATGATCGATCTCTGGAGACCACGTCGTCCCACCTCGGGGCGAAACGAAAGGGAAGGAGGTTATTAAGAGGGGATTAATAAAGGGCGGGCCCACCCCGGGCGGGGGCGCGGGTCCCACCAAGGGGTAGAAAAGAGAGAGAGAGAGCGAGGGCTCTCGGCCAGGTATTCCGGGTTAATTCCAGCCGCGCCGGCCGAGAGAGCGTAGAATATGCGAAGGACCGGCCGCGGGTTGGGGCCCGGTCGGGGCCCGGTCGGGGCCCGGGGCCGAAGGATAACGCTAGGCAGCTCATCGGCTGGACGGTGCTCGGAGCGAACGAAGGACGACCGCATTCCTCGGCGCAACCTGGTATAATACGAGGAATCGCCGGTCGAGGAGGGAGGAAGAGGAGGAGGAGGAGGAGGTGGGGCCCCGGAGAGTCGTCGGGGGACCTTAACTTCGCTTAGCTTCCTCCTCCTCCGCTTCTTCGCTTCCCCCCTTTCGTCCGCTCCGCCTTCCTCGGCAACCGCCACCGCGGCGTCCAACCTCGTCCTCCTCATCGTCCTCGTCCACCCCGTCGACGGCATCCGTCGTCCTCGTCGTCCCTCCCCGAACCGCCCGCGGCGTCAGCCCGGGACCAACTGGGCGACCGGCGCGCGACGCGTGGACGGCATTAAAACCGCGTGTGCGCGCGCACCGCACGCTACTCGTTAATATACGCACTTTATTCGCGTATATGGGGATTTTATAGGCGCCGAGATATTACGAGCGAGGCCCGCTCGTAAATCCCGCGCCTTTTTAATGCCCCGCGGACGGTTGCGTCACCTCGCCTCCTCTTGTCCCCCCTTGCTCCCTCATCCCCCGGGACGTTGTCACCGGGAATAATGAAAACGATTTCGTCCGCGGTATTCGACTCTACGTATGGTCCCTTCCTCTCGTCGAGTGCGATTTTCTGCGCTGGAAAGGAGTGCCCTCGTCCGTCTTTTTTTTTTTCCCCCCCGTGGGAGTTCCGGCTGAATTTTCATTTTTCTTTATTTTTCGCCCGAAAGCGTTTTCTGTCCGCGGGGGGGAAATTCGGTGTCGCTCCCGGCTTCGAGTTTTCCGGGGACGAGAAGACGGCCCCCGAGACGAGAGGTAGGTCCAGGAATGACTCCCTGGGCGAATGATTCCGGTATCCCGGGATTTTTACCCTCCACCCTCATTATCGTCCTCGGGCAATATCCTCGGCGTCAGTCGTAAAGGTTCCGCGGAAACACGCCGTGGAGACCGAGGGAGGACGGAGAAAGAGTGGGCCTGGGGAGAAAGAGGGACAGAGAGAGAAAGAGAAGAAATCGACCGAGGGGGGAAGAGGAAAGGGGAAAAAAAAAGGATAGGATCCGAAGAAACGCGAAAAAACGAGGAAACGCGCCAACGGTCCACCGGTTGTCCCGCATTACGTAAATACGTGGCTCCGGGCGTCGTGGATGTACAAAAGAGAGGGACAAAAAACCGGGCACGAGAAAAACAAGAAGAGAAAAATAATAATAATAATAAGAGAAGAAGACAGAGAGAAAAGGATCCGAGCCTACGCAAGGAACGTCCGTGATCCCATTGATCTTCGTGGAATTGACCTTTTAAAAATTCCCTTTAAAAAATCCCTCCCCCTCTCGCCTCTCCATCCTCTCTTCTCGTTCCCCGTCGTAACGACCGGCGAGTCGATTACGGGATAAAATTGAATTCTTTTCTTTTTTTTTTCCCTCTCCTCCGCCCATCCGCCTCCAAATTCTTCTACCCCGCGTCCACTCGGCGAAACTCCCGCGAATCCACATCCCTCGAAAATCTCCAGTCAAACCCAGCCTCCTCCCTGAATCGGTGCAGCATCCTTATCATTGCAGCATCTCCGATCAGAGGAGTGAGCGAGAGGGAGGTTACCTCGCTCGGGAGGACCCCAGAGGAAAGGCATCCGGGGAGCGAGGTTAGGATCACGCGTGGAGAATTATTCCCGGCTGTCAGCTTAGACGCTTCGGTCCCCTGATGGGATTATAATGTCAATGTAATGCCCCGCTACCGGGCTACGTAACCCCCCTTGTCCCGTCCCTCTCCACCCGTGTCCCCTCCCAGGGCCGCTCCCCTCCCGCCACCCACCTGAGACATTCCTCTCCGCCCTCCCCGAGAGAATGCCCACCGTCGTTTCCCCAATCGTTTCCTCCATCGTTTCCCCTATCGTTTCCCTCCCACCTCCCACACCATCTCCAAGAATTCATAAAAAAAAAAATAAATATATATATATTTTTTCCCCTAAATTAAAAAGTGCCCACTCCACCACATACGCGTACATGAACCGAGGCAATTCGCGGTGACGTCTTATCGGCGTCTCTTATCAGCCAGATTCTGCCCTTTTCGAGGTCGCGACGCGAGTCGATCGGAAAACAGGTGCCGGGCCATTCAAAGATTCGACACACGAGCGACCCCCCCTCCTCCCGTTCCCCCGGGGGCTCCCGTAAACAAACAAAGGAGGGGTTTTTGCGGACAGGATTCGTATATGGCGAGGCAGGAGAGCCGGCGGGGCATTTCGTGCAGCGGGGTATCGCATTCCCGGGAGACGAGCTCGTCCCGCGCGCCTCGTTCACCTGCCAACCTGGCCGGGCTAAAAATAGTCGGTGTAGTAGCGCCCGCGCGCATGCGCGGATGTATGTACGAACGGGAGGAGAGGGAGGGAGGAATCCCAGCCGAATCCGTCGGTCTCTGTGTGCGTGCACGAATGGTCGATCCAGCTTTCTCCAATTTATCGGGTTTGTTGACCCCCCGAGAGAGGCTGGTTCTCCGATGGAAATTCGGGGGGGGGGTCCCGGGAGGAACGGGTTGGAGGGGGCGGGGTGACCTCGTGTATATACGCATGCATATACACACGCACGAGAGATTAGCGAAACCGCGTTTAAGTATTCCGAGCCGAGTATTTACAAGGAGATAAAAATTGTCAATGGGGCAGGTGAGTCGTTAACGGGTTAAATCTGACTATTGATCGATTGGAGGTAATTAGGAGTACTGTACGGTGCAAGATGTACTTGTTTACGGTCGCGTGAATGATCTTCCTATGCGCACTTGGCGCGGGGCTCTGCCGATCGGAAACCGGCGTCCCCCCCTTCAGGGTATCCTTCCCCTTTCGGGCGCAACGTGGCCGCGTGACGTAACCGGGGGCTCGCAGTTACCGATATTCGTAATATCTGGCCGCGGTCTCGGCGGGGCCCACGCGAGGAGAGAACTCGAACTCGAGGAATTCGTAAGTCGATCCGCGTGCACGCGTCGCCGACTTCGCCTAGGTGTACGTATAGGTAGACCCGGGGGCACAGGTACGCCTCTGCGAGGCGCGAGCGGCGCGGCCAGGGTCGGGCCCGAACCGACGTCGAGCGCGAACAAGAGTCATCCAATTTTTTTTTTTAACTCGACACCCGATCGCGGAGGAGAAATGTCGAAAAAAAAAATAAATGTGTAAAAATCCTGAACAATCTTGAAGATTCGAAGACATCGGAAAACACCGAAAAAATGAAAAACGGTAAAATGACAAAGTGGAAAAAAATCGTAAAAATGACGAATCCTTGCCACGTGCGATACGTCGTACTATCGTCCGTTATAACGTGTACTTCGGGGGCGATAACGCAAGGTATTACCCACGTATCCCCCTCCCCCAATGTACGAACGTTAACGTCGCGAGGTGTACTCGCGCGTTTGGCGGCGGCTCCTACTCTCGGTCGGCGGCGAAACTCGTTTCGCGAGCGCGTCCCCGCGTATATATCTCCTATAGGTTAGGTTAGTCGCGCCGAGAGGCACGTTCGATTCCGTCTCCGAGTTTATCGAGCGCGCGTTATCACTCGCGGGATCGCGAACATTGTCGCTTTCGACGTAAGCGACCCGCGACAATCCCGCGGCCGGCCGGCCGGCGTTTCAAACGAATTCCGCGCGAACGCATCGGACTTAATTTCCCCCGCCGTTCCCTCCGCTCGGCGGTATAAACGCCCCGGAAAGGCGGCTCGAGAATTAACTCGACGCCTCGTTTCCGCGAGGTATACGATTTATCATTAGCCGCGGAATGTCCGCAGGAACGATCAAACTCGACTCCACTCCCGTCCTTTCCATTTGAGGTTAACTTAATCATCGATCCATTAGATCGGATCGATGCAAGAGTACGTGCCGTTTCCGGCCGGCTAAATGGCACTGCACCTAGCGGAACGCACTTATGCGTCGATCCTATACTTATGATAAAAAGTCGTTATCAATTTCTCGCCA